CCCGGCCGGGCCGCCTTTCGGGGCGGGGGACGCGCCCCTCGCCCCCGGCCGCGCTCCCTGGATGGCGCCGGCGCCCGAGTGAGGGAGGCGGCTCCCGGGACCCCCCCGCCGCCCGGACCGCCCGTCTCTGCGGGGATGTACGAGGGCGTGGAGGTGGGGGCGCTCGCCCCCGCGCCCAGCCCCTTCCTGGTGGTGGATCTTTACAACCAGAGCCGGGCCTGCCTGCTACCCGAGAAGGGGCTCCCCGCGCCCGCGCCCTACCCCACCCCGCGGCGGACCCCGCTCTGGACCGGCTCCAACCACTGTAGGTACCGGCCCCGCTCCCATTGTGAGGGTGGGGTGGGCCGGGGCGTCCGCTCCTGCGGGCCAGGGGGGGTGCGAGCCTGGGGGCGTGGTGAGGTCTGGTCTCCCCCCTTCGCCGTCCCTGTGTCTCTTGCTGGAGCCCTGGTGCCTTTGCTGGACAATCGGACTCCGGGAATAACCCGGCCGGGTCCTGTGGCGGTGTATTCCGGGGCTCAGGAACTTTGGGGGTTCCTCCCTCCAGGAAACAATTGTGCGCTGACCCTCCCGCTTCTTGGCGGGGAGAGGACGCCCCCGCCCCGCTCCAGGTCTTCTGGCCTGGAATCCAGTCGCCTCACCGCAGCGTGGTCCTTTCTCCCACCCTAGAGGGTGGGGTCAAGGTCCCGTTTGTGGGCCTGTCTGCCCCCAAGTGAAGGGGCCTCCTCCCCATCCCAGGCCTTGTCCTGTGTCCTCAGAGGGGGTGTCCGGGAGGCGCTGGCGGTGGGGTGTGGCAGGACCAGACACCCCTCTGCCATGCTGAGGGACCCTGCCCTCTTGGGGAGGGCCCCTGCCCATCGGAGTGCAGCCTGAGCCACTCGGCTGGCATCTCCATCTCGGCGGGTTCCGTCCTAGGAGGAGGGGGAGAGCTGCTCTGGGCAGGAGTGTGTTTTGGGGGCCCTCTAGACACAAGTACCTCCCTTCCCAACCAGCCGTGTCCTTTTGTTACCCTGTGCTCCCTTGGGGGCGGGGCAGGTGCTGGACGCTCCCTTCCTGAGGGGGGCTGCTGAGAACCCCAAGTCCTGGCGGGCTGCTCCCCTTCTCTCCCTGCCCGTGTCTGGGTTCACGTTCCTCTGAGGGGGAGGGCTCTGGGCCCTAGGGGAGCGGTGAGCACCGGGTGCAGGGCTGGGTGTGTTCAGACCCAGCGCTCAGACCTGGTGGGTGGGAGCTGGCAGTCCGCTGGGGGGTTATTGTTACAGGCTGGGGTTTCTTCCCGGCTCCCCTCGGGCTTCACTCTTCCCAGGAGCGGCTCCCTCCCCCTGAACCTGCTGTCTCCCTCCGGAGGGCCAGGGCCGAGCAGGCTTCTGGGGGCCTGGCAGGTTGGAGAGGGTGAAGGGCACCCCCCAGCTCCTGTGCGCCGGGAGAGACAGACACCCCACCGCTGCCTCCCCGAGAGCCACCTTAGCCTCAGCCTTTGCTTTTGTCCCGGCCCTTGACCTTTGGCTGGGGGGTGGCGGTGCAGACTGGCCGGGAGGCTGCAGGCTGCAGGCTGTGGGAGGGACAGGGCTGTGAGCGCGGGTTGACTTTGGCAAAAAAAACAAACCACACACAGAGAGGTGAGAAGTATGACACCAGGAGCCTCCTTCCGTCCTCCCAGAGCTGAAGGAAGGTATCCCCACCCCCCATTGGGTCACTGGGGCCGGGCCTCCAGGGTTACCCCCTCCCTGCCTTGGCTGCCTTCCCAGGGGCCTGGGCCTTGGGCTCCAGCCCCAGCTCTTCCTTAGCTCCCGGGCAGCTCAGCTCTTCCCGGTCCCAGCGGAAGGGGGATGGGGGAGCGGGGAGTCCAGGCGTCTGAGGAGCTGGGGGGCAGGTGACCGGGAAGTGGGGGCCTGCCCCCCCTCCCCCCGCTGGGGGCAAAGCTGCAGTCTGGCCTGGGCCTGGGCCCTCTAGGCGGGCGGTGAATGAATGCATGTGGTGGGGTGTCAGTGGGCTCCGCTCCGGGCTGGGAGCTGGGAGGGGGGTTCCAGCCCTGGGAAGACCCGGAGGCCGGAAGTGGGAGTAGCCCCTGTCTAATGGGGGGGGGTGGACAGCACCCTGCCTTGGGGCCCTCTGGTGACAGGAGCCCTCTGCCTCCGCCACCCAAGGTGGAAGCGACAGCAGGCCAGTGGAGACAGTCTCCGTCCTGCAGGGCCCAGGGACGCTGCCATCCCCCGCGGAGCTCTGTTTGGGGGCCACGCGAAGACGAGGGGTGCACAGGATGTGGTCCCCCGTCTGTCCCCCACCGATCTCGGCTCGCGCCTCCGCCCGCTCCAGACGTCCAAGAATGCGAAGCACGTGGCCCGCGGGGGAGGGGGAGATGTTATCACGGCCGCTGCCCCGGGCCTCTTCCTCGCCCCCCACCCCTGGAGGGAGGGGAGCACCGAGGCCCTGCGTCCCTCCCCGAGGGGCGGGCGCCAGCCGGGGCGGGAGGGGAGCTGCTGGCCGGGGGCCCGGCCTGTTTCCTCCCGATCCCCCTCCAGGAAGCCGGCCTGTGCGAGCTGCGGGCGCTCCGGGGCGTGGGGAGCCGGGCCCCCGCCTCCTGCCCGCGGGGAGGGGCGCCCCGGGGACCCCGGCTCCTGGGCCGGTGCCAGCCGCGCGGGCGCTGGAACTTTGAGCGCAGAAGGTGTGGCTGCTCCGCTTCTCTCTCTCTGCCGGGAGAGGGGTTGGGGGGCTGGGGCCTCTGGGAGGGAGGTGATGGGGCGGGGCTGTGTGGACAGACCTAGAGCTGTGCGTCCTTAGGGTGCCCTGGGCTGCTGGCTGGGGGCCTGGGGAGGTGGGCGCTGGGCCCGGACTCAGGGTGCACTAGGAACCCTCAGCTGTCACCTGGTGACAGGCAGGGCCGTGTGTGTGCTGGAGGCGGGAGCACAGACCTGGTCAGAGCCTCCAAGGCAGGCAGGTGGGTGGAGGGGGCCTCCCCCAGGCCACGCTGTGGCCCCGCGTGGGGTCAGGGTCATCCGCCCTAACCTGCCAAACGGACAGGCACATTCTTCCGGCCCCAGAAACACCCTCCGGACTTTGCCTGAGCTCCGGATTTCTGCAGACCTTTGCCCCACTGGTTTGACTCTGACCTCAGAGCTGTCTGTCTCTCATCCTTGTATCCTGTGTGCCTCCCCATGCCCCTCCTCCCCTCCTCATCCCGCCCTGGACTCTCTCTCCCCCTCCAGCCTGGTCCATTTCAGGGGGGGTGGGGCAGGCCAGTGCCTTCACCCTCTGCGCCTGGGATCTGGGACTGGGATTCTAGGCCACAGCCCTTCCACCCCCTGCCCCGTGTCCTTGACACCCCCCCCCCCCACACACACACCAGTCTGGATTGTCTATTGTTACTCCTTTTACGTCTTGGAAAAAGTTAGCACAACAAAGGGCTCCTTTGTCGCTCACCCCTCTGCCTCCTGGCCTCCCCCGGGCCCCCCAACCCTGCCCCCCACCCCGGCAGCTGTTCCCAGGCCTCTCGCCTGTCTGATTCGCTTGTCTGGCCTCCAGGAGAGCGAGGTGGGGCGAACCAGGCCGGGGCAGTTTGGTGTTGGGTGAGGGCTGGGAGGGGAGGTCAGTGGGGAGTCTGTGGACTGATGGGGGTGTGGGCGCCCCCGGTGTCTTTGCTGTGGGCTGGCCTCTGGGCAGGCACGGGGCATGGGGCCACCGCAGTGCTGGTTGGCCAGGCTGCCCAGGGACGTCGTGCCCGGGCCGTACTAAGAGCCAGGAAAGCCCTGCCAAGGTGGTTGGCCTGGTCCCCTGCCATCCACCTCCTGCCCATGCGTGGGTGGTGTGCCTGCAGGTAGGGGGCGGGGTGCATGCATGCAGTGGGCCCTGCGTTCAGGCCGCTTTTCTCTGAGCCTGGACCGCGGGGGGGGGGGGGGGGGGGCAGGTGACCGATGGCTGTAAGGTGCTCGGGCCAGGAGCTCTGGGCCCTTTGGGTGCTGGTCTTTGGGGTGAGACCGGGTAGGATTCTGGGGGGTGGGGGGAGGTGGTCAGGCATGCACCCCGCCTTCTGGGGAGGCATCCTTGAGCTTGGACAAGCGGGCTTAGCAAGGCCTCAGGAGGGTGCTGGGTGGTCCCTTGGGCGTCTGGGGCTGCTTTGGTCACAGTCCTCCATCCAGCACAGTGTACACCCGGCTGCCCAGGCTCAGGGCACAGACAGCCCCCGCCCAGCCCAGCCCTGCCCTGCCTGGGGTGATGGGCACGGGGCCAAGCACTGGGGAGGGTTTGGCTGGTGGAGCTGAATAACGGGAGGGGAGGGGGGAGTAACCCGGACATAGTGTTGAGGCCAGACAGACAGAGCATTGATGGGAACAGACCCCCCATTGTCATGCTGCTCCCCCCCAGACTGGGCACCCAGAGCCAGGGGCTTCCGGGGCCCATGGGGACTCCCCTCCTTGTCTCCGGGGAGTCCCCCCTGCTTATCAGGAGGAGTCCCGCCTGCTTCTCCCTAAACATTTGCAACTTTTCTTTGCTCACCGGGCCTCAGGCCGGGGGATTGTTTGGGTGGAGGAGGGGCTGTGGCTGCCGTCAGAGAGGAGGGGGGAGCGGAAGCCGAGGGGGTGGGGGAGTGGCCGCCTTTGAATATCCTGTTGACCCCAGTTTCCTCTGCCCCTCGCTTGTGTCCTCTTCCCTCCCTCCTCGTAGGCCTTAACTCCTTCCTAACGGGAGCCGGTGCGGCCGCCCAGGTGCCCCCCTGCCCAGGTGTAGCCGGGTCCGCACAAGGCCTCATCCGCTGGCCTCTCTGGGGTGGAAGGTGGGGTCTGGGGAGCAGCCAGGAGTGTGATGGGGTGCCGAGGGGCTCTTTGGCAGCCTCCTTCCCCACGTCTGGCTGGGGAGGCCCAGCGCTCCTGAGCCTGCGCTCCTGCCCCTGAGTTTGAACCCCGGCCGCTGGGGGAGGGGCTGCGGGGAGAGAGTGGAGGCAGGGCGGGCGGGCGCGGCCTTGAGGATGGCAGCCTGGGTCTCTAACCGCCCCTCCCTCCTCTCTCTAGCCATCGAGACCCAAAGCAGCAGTTCCGAAGAGATAGTGCCCAGCCCCCCCTCGCCTCCCCCCCTGCCCCGCATCTACAAGCCGTGCTTCGTCTGCCAGGACAAATCCTCGGGCTACCACTATGGGGTCAGCGCCTGTGAGGGCTGCAAGGTGAGTGGAGTCACTGGGGAAGGCGGTCCTGATGAGATCAGCAAACGTCCCCGCTGTCCCATCCCAGGAGTTGGCTGGGGTGCAGGGGGGCGTGTCCTTGAAGCTTCTGCACTTGCTCCTACGTGGCAGGTCGCAGCAGCTATGTGGGGGGGAGCCTGCAATAACCCCCCCCCCCCATGGATGAGCGGGCAGGGGTTCCCCCAGACCCAAGAGGTCCCTCCTGCCCGAGCTCCTTTCCCTGTCTCCATCCTCCAGTTGGCAGGGCGTAGGTCTGCTCTGCCACCGCGGCCCAGGTTGCCATGGTGAGCTGGCTGCCGGCCGGCTCTTGGCTGGGGACCCAGGAGGCCTGCCCCCAGTGGCCCTGCCTGAACCTCCCCACAGGGGCCTGGCAGGAGGCAGGCGGGAGCAGGCGCCTCGCCGCGGCCTCTCCTTCAGACGCCCGGGCGGGGGCTCCCCCGGGTCTGGCTGGACTTCCCTGCGCCCACGTCAGGCTCCAGGGTCCAGACGCGGCTGCCACCTTCCCAGCGGCTGTGGGCATGGCCTCGCCTCACCTCCCAGGGCCTGGGCCTCGGTACCTGTTTCTGCCCCGGAGGCTGGGGGCTCAGAGGCTGTACAGCGTGGGGGCTGGGGCTCCTGCCTGCCTCTCAGCCTGGAGCAGCTGTCCCCCCAGGTGTGGGGCTAAGATCAGGGGCAAAGCAGCAGGCCTGGTGGGGGGGGGTGTCTTTGCCTGTCCTGCCTGTCCCTGGTCTGTCACGTCTCCGGTTAGCCTGAGTGTGGAGCCTCTAGCCAGCCGGAGGTCACCCGTGACCAGTCCATACACATCCCCCTGGTTGGCAAGCGTGCGTCCTGCTGCTGGTTCCTGACACTGTGTGTGTCTCCACCTCCATCGCTCCACCAGCCTGCGTGTGTCCCTGTGTGCCTCCTCCTGCTTTCCCTCCTGAGCTCTGAGCCGGGGCGGTGGGTCCCGGAGCTCTGCCTCTCCCCTCTCTAGCCCTGTCTCCCCTTTTCCTGGCGCGCTGGCAGCCCTGATGTCCTCTTCCCAGGGAGGGAGGAGGCAAGGTGTGGGTTGGGGGTGCTTGCAGTGTAAGGCAGGCACTGCAGTTCCTTGGGGGCCGTCCTAGTAGGTGAGCCCTTCTCCCACCTCATCTGACCTGCTCAGGCAGGTGATGGCCGAAGGCTTGGCGGCAGCCGCGGCCTGGCCTCCGGGCCCCTGGCTGAGGCCCCGGGCTGGTGTGGCTCCCCCCGTGGGTGTGGCTGATCTGACTCCCTCCCCTCCATGCTCAGGGCTTCTTCCGCCGCAGCATCCAGAAGAACATGGTGTACACGTGTCACAGGGACAAGAACTGCATCATCAACAAGGTGACCCGCAACCGCTGCCAGTACTGCCGGCTGCAGAAGTGCTTCGAAGTGGGCATGTCCAAAGAGTGTGAGTGCCAGGGGCCGGGGGCCAGGGCCGGGGGCCAGGCCACCCGCTGGACAGGGCTCTGGGGCTCCTGGAGGCGAGGGGAGCGGGTGGGGGGGAGTGTGGGTGTGTGTGTAGGGGTGTGAACTTGCATGCTCGTGGTATGGTGTGTGGGCTCCTGGCTAAGGACGGTTTGTGTATATATAGCTGCAAGGACCTGCCTGTCTGTACACCTGGCTGTGTCCGTCGCAGACTCTGTCCCTGTTTGCACATGGCTGTCTGTGTGTGCCCGTGTGTCTGCGGCAGGCCAGTTGGCTTCCGGGCCCTGCTGGGCTCTGGGGCAGGGCTCAGAAGCTTCCCCAAGTCCCTTCGGATTGTGCATCTTAGCGAAGGGCCTGGACCGAGGTGTGTGTGTGTGTGTGTGTGTGTGTGTGTGTGTGTTGGGGGCGGTGCGGCTGGCACCGGGATCTAAAAGCCATTGTCCGGTGACAGAGCCTGGGCCCTGGGGCTTCAAGAGAGAATCAGGATGTCTCAGACCCCTGAGGGATGGGGTTTCCAGTTTGGGCTCAGCTGAGGCTGGAGGGAGGAGGGAGGAGGGAGGAGGGAGGGCTGGACAGGGAGACCCTCTTGTGTTGAATCATGAGTGTTGCCGTGGTGACCAGTGATTGATGATGTCAGAGATAAATGACGCTGACAGACGCCTCCTTGTCTGCGTGGCCGTTGCCATGGAGCCTGAGCCGTGGGGGATGGGGTGGGGGAGGGGGCCGCAGGACCCCCTCGCCCTTTGTAGGTTGGGCAGCAGAGGAAGAAAGTGGGGAAGGGCTGTGGGGGGACGGAGGGGTCCTGCCTCACACTGCCACCTCCCGCCTCGGGGGTGGGGGGCAGGGGCTGCCGGGTAGGAGCCCGGGCTCCGTGCTGCATCGGGGGGGACACTGGGGACCTTCAGGGCCCAGCACCGCCGCCTCCCTCCGCTCCGCCACCTTCCGCTCCCAGAGGAGCTTCTGCGTGAGAGGGACCAGGGTGGGGACCCTCTCCCTCCCACCGCCCTCTCCCCCTTTCCCTCCCTCCCGCCCTCCCTCCCTCTGGTTGCTCTGTGCCCCGGAGCTGAGCAGCTGCCATTTCAATAGAATTAAAGCTTCCGAATGATAAACGTCTTGTCACAGCTGCAATTTTCTCTTCCCAAATTATCCCCCCACTCTCCCTCTCCCCTCTCTCCCTTGCACTTTATTGAATTTGCAGAATCGACATGAGTGATCTCCAAATTATGCCAGCTCCCCCACCCACCCACCCCACTGCCCCCTCCCGGGGCCCCCACCCCCACCCCTGTTCCTCCAGCGTCAGCAGCCGCCGCCACTGGCCCCGTGAGTGATGGTGCGTCTGGGATAATCGGCTGGTAACGACCCCATCGCTTCTTTAAAGCCGAGTGGTGTGTGCGGCTCAGCGCCCCCGGTGATTTGTCAGCTCCCCCAGCTAATGGGCCGGGAGACTCTCCCACCCGGCCCCCCACTCCAGGCTGGGGAGCCCTGCACAGCCCCTGCCCCAGGAGAGGAGCTGCCTCCCTGCAGGCCAGTCTCGGGGACCCCCCTGGGGGACCGCTGCCTGCAGGGCTGGGCCCGAGGCTGCTTGTTCTGGGGGCAGAGGGGGTGGGGGGCGGGGAGGCAGAGCGTGAAGGTGGGGACCGCACACTTGCCTTCAGACGGGACCCACGCTCCCGGAGTGTGGCTGGAGCGAGTGTGGGCACAGCGGGCGGTGCCGTGGCCCGGGGGGCCCTCGGGCAGGATGCGTTGTGGGTCAGTTGGGCATGGAGGGGTAGAGCGTGAGTTGACACCTTGTCCGCCTGCACACTCGTGCGTCTCTGTGTGCGCGCACATTGTATGTGCATGTGTGTGTGGACATTGTTGTGTGCACTGCTGTGTGAGCACATTGTATGTGTGCACTGCTGTGTGTGCACGTTGTATGTGTGTCTCTGTGTGCACATTGTTGTGTGCACTCCTGTGTGCGCACATTGTATGTGCATGTGTGTGTGCACATTGTTGTGTGCACTGCGGTGTGTGCACATTGTATGTGTGCACTGCTGTGTGCACTGCTGTGTGTGCGTGTCTGTGTGCACATTGTTGTGTGCACTCCCGTGTGTGCACATTGTATGTGCGTTTGTGTGTGCACATTGCTGTGTGCACTCCTGTGTGTGCACATTGTATGTGCGTCTGTGTGCACACATTGCTGTGTGCACTGCTGTGTGTGCGCCACCCGGTAGTGACTCCTGCAGCCAACACCTCTGGTGGGTGGCGCTTGGGCTGGGGACAGCGGGGCCTGGGGATAGACCCCTGCCGGCACCTGCTCTCACCACGGCCTCGCCCCCACAGCCGTGAGGAACGACCGGAACAAGAAGAAGAAGGAGGCGCCCAAGCCCGAGTGCTCCGAGAGCTACACGCTGACGCCGGAGGTGGGCGAGCTCATCGAGAAGGTGCGCAAAGCGCACCAGGAGACCTTCCCCGCGCTCTGCCAGCTGGGCAAATACACTACGGTAGGTACGCTTCCCCTGGCCATGGGCGCCCCTTCACCAGGCTGCCCCCCTCCCCCTGCCCGGGCCTTCTGTCCTCCCCCCCCCCCCCCGCCCCTCCTCCCGCTTCCTCCAGGGGAGTGCTCAGGAAGCCCGGGCGGGCGGGCAGGCCTGTGGGCGCTGGCGGAGGCGGAGGGGAGCTTGGAGAGGCCTCACTCTCCCCCGCCCTCTCAGAACAACAGCTCAGAACAACGTGTCTCTCTGGACATCGACCTCTGGGACAAGTTCAGTGAACTCTCCACCAAGTGCATCATCAAGACGGTGGAGTTCGCCAAGCAGCTGCCCGGCTTCACCATGCTCACCATCGCCGACCAGATCACCCTTCTCAAGGCCGCCTGCCTGGACATCCTGGTGAGCGTCTGGGCCCTGCCCCTCTGATAGCCACCTTCCCACACAGCGCCTGGAAGGGACCTGCCCCCATGCCCCGCCCACCACACAGCAGCCCCCTCGCCGCTCCCGGTCCATTTGCTCATTTGTCTCTCTGGCCCCTCACCCCCCCATTCATCCACCCTCGCCCCATCTTTCTGTTAAGCCTTCCCCCCAACCTCCCATCGTCCCCTCAGCTCCGTCCGGAGTGAAGACTCACCTGGGCCCCTGCGCGGGCAGGCCCGGAGCTGGCTGTCAGGAGCAGAGGGGACACCCACTCTTCCCCCTCCCTGGAAAACCTCCTTTAAAAAAAATTTTTTTTTGATTTTTTTTTACAGAGAGGAAGGGAGAGAAAGAGGGACAGAGAGCTAGAAACATCGGTGAGAGAGAAACATGGACCAGCTGCCTCCTGCACACCCCCTAATGGGGATGTGCCCGCAATCAATGTACATGCCCTTGACCGGAATCGAACCTGGGACCTTTCAGTCCGCAGACCGACGCTCTATCCATTGAGCCAAACCGGTTTTGGCAAACCTCCTGATTTTGGAGGCCACAGATCTGCAGACGGGTGGCGAGCTGTGATAAGAGCTGGCTGGAGGGGGCGGGGGGGAGCTCCAGCTGTGGGCCCCGGGGAAGGTGTCAGAGGGGATGACACTGAGGGTGCGGAGGGGCCGGGGAGAGGGCGGCTGACGGAGGGCAGGCTATGCGAGGCCTGCTGCGGGCGTCCGGCTGGAGGCAGGACTGGGGCGGCCAGAGGCTGGGCTGGGCTGGAGGCAGAATTGGGGGCGGTGGGGATGCCCATGCCTCCACTGACAAGGACTCCTCTCCCTGCCATTCATTCATCCTGCCCGGCTCCGCCCTCTGGCCCCCTCCAGGCTGGGGAACCGGTGTGACTTCCCGGGAGGAGGGGCCAGGTGCAGTGCGTGCTGCCCCCGCACCCCCACCCAGGCCCCGGATGCAGAGGCTGGGCCAGGGTCTGACACAGTGGAAGCCGATGCACATTTATGGAGCGCCTGCTGTGTACCCTGCCCTGGGAACGGTGGCCATACATTCGCTATGACTCTTGCCCGGGAATTCCCGTGTCTGAAGAATTCTAAATCCTCTGCCTAGAGACAGGGCCGGGCCGACACAGAAGCCGCGTGCCAGGCGTGGCTATTGGAATATACTAAAACGAAATCCAGGCGGCTCCTCGGGGGCGCTGGCGTGGTTCTAAGGGTTCGATGGCCACGCCGTGGCTGGCGGCCCGTGTCTGGACGGTGCAGACTCAGGCCGTTTTCATTATCGTAGGAGATTCTGTCGGGCCGCACTGGGCTGGCCGCCTGCCAGGTGGGCCTGTGGGGACGGATGCTGCTGCTGGAGCTGCTGGGGGGATGGGCCGTGTCTCTCACCTCGTGCCTCCTCTGCACCCAGATCCTGAGGATCTGCACGAGGTACACGCCCGAGCAGGACACCATGACCTTCTCGGACGGGCTGACCCTGAACCGGACCCAGATGCACAACGCCGGCTTCGGCCCCCTCACCGACCTGGTCTTCGCCTTCGCCAACCAGCTGCTGCCCCTGGAGATGGATGACGCCGAGACCGGGCTGCTCAGCGCCATCTGCCTTATCTGTGGAGGTGCGCAGGGCCGGGGGTCCCGGGGCCGGGCCCGGGCTGGCAGGGGAGCCCCTCGCCGGGGTGTCCAGGGAATCATCAGCTCAGGAAGGGACCTCGGCCCCTGTCGGGTCCTGTTCAGAGGGGGAATCGAGTCACACAGCGAGGGTGTGGCAGCGGAGACCTGACCTGGGGTTCCCTGCCTGGTCAGACCACCCAGGTTCGCTTCCCGGGCAGCTCTGACCTTGAGCAGGTTTGCCAGGTCCTCTGAGCCCCCACGTCTGCAGGATGAGGCCAGAATGGGCCGAGGAAGGTGGTCGTTAGTAGTGAGGGTGCGCTGTGCCCGAGGAAGACGGGGTGCATGTTGGCTGCTGTCGCTGTGTCATTGTTACGAGCTCTGCCATGTCGGGCCGGAGACCTGCCCGGGCATCTTCCTCTGCTGGGTCCCTCCCCCATGAGCTGGGCCGTCAGGGCCGGCGGTGGGCAGCCACAGCCTCCGCTCCTCTGCTTATGATTAAGAGCCTGTATCCGAGCACACAGACCCGTCCACTGCCCTGTGTGGGGAGGCCCCGGGAGCAGGCGCCCAGCTTGTGGCCTGGGCACGCGCGCCCCCCAGTGGCCGCGGCCGGGAGCGCAGGTGTTCAGGGGCTGCTCTGCTCCCTCAGACCGGCAGGACCTGGAGCAGCCGGACCGGGTGGACATGCTGCAGGAGCCGCTGCTCGAGGCGCTCAAGGTCTACGTGCGGAAGCGGAGGCCCAGCCGGCCCCACATGTTCCCCAAGATGCTCATGAAGATCACGGACCTTCGAAGCATCAGCGCTAAGGGTGAGGCTCCTGGCGGGACGCCCCCGGTGCCCGCCCAGGCCGGGCCCCAGCAGCCGGCCTCCGTGAACACCGGGGCCTCTGTGCCCAGGACAGTGCCCCACTCATCGGGACCCGGGCTGTCCCTCTCCGTCTAGGCCCCGACCCCAGAGGCCCCGACCCCAGGCCCGGGCGACCTCCTGCCTGGGAGCGCCAAGGTGGCAGCGTCCCCTGTGCCGGGCGGGGAAGGGCACGGCTCTGGAACCAGATGGCAGGGGAGCGCGCCCTTGAGCAGGTCACTGAGCAGCTCTGAGCCCGTCTGAGGGGAGGACGGGGATGGTGTTGACAGGGCGGCTGTTTGGAGGCGTCAGCAGGAGATGCCATGGCACACGGCACACGGGCAGGCCTCGGTGTCAGGCCGGGCGGTCAGAGTCAAGAACCACGTTCCCTGGCCGAAACCGGTTTGGCTCAGCGGATGGAGCATCAGCCTGCGGACTGAAAGGTCCCGGGTTCGATTCCGGTCAAGGGCATGTGCCTTGGTTGCGGGCACATCCCCAGTAGGGGGTGTGCAAGAGGCAGCTGATCGATGACTCTCTCTCATCGATGTTTCTAATTCTCTCTTTCTCTCTGTAAAAAAATCAATAAAATATATTATAAAAAAGAAAAAGAAAAAAAAAACACCACTTTCCCCGCTGCCTCTCGGACTTGGGGACTCAGAGAGACGGGCCCCGAGTCAGTGCACGGTGGATGCTGAGCGGAGGGGGGGGCGGGGGGGGCGCTGGTCCTTGGGGAGCCCTGCTTGCCCTCGGGGCTTGCAGAGCCGGGCGGCGGGGCGTGTGCTGACCTCCGCCCTCCTCTCCCGCAGGGGCCGAGCGGGTGATCACGCTGAAGATGGAGATCCCGGGCTCCATGCCGCCTCTCATCCAGGAGATGCTGGAGAACTCCGAGGGCCTGGACACTCTGAGCGGACAGCCGGGGGGCGGGGGGCGGGAAGGGGGTGGCCTGGCGCCCCCACCCCGCAGCTGCAGCCCCAGCCTCAGCCCCAGCTCCAACAGAAGCAGCCCGGCCACCCACTCCCCGTGACCGCCTGCGCCCCACGGACACGGCCCTCGCCCTCGCCCGGCTTCTCTCTGCCTTTCTACCAACCACGCGGCCGGCCGGCCCTGCCCCTGCCTGTCTCCCCTCCCGGGACGGGGGGCAGCGGGGAGGCGGCTCTGGACAGAGGCCCGGGCGCCGTGGACTGTTCCTCTGCGGCCTGGCTCGTCGCGGGCAAGGCCAACGGACTGACTGACGGGTCCTGGGTCTCAGGATGGGGCCTGGGGGCCTCGTGTTCATCCAGACACCCCTCCGCCCGCCTCGCCTCGTCGTCATCACCAGCAAACGCCAGGACCCGGCCCCTCCGTCCTCGGAACTTGCAAGCCATTGCCCCCCGGTTGGGGACCCCCCATCGCCTCGGTGGGGCGACAGGGGGGGTGGGCCAGGGGCGGGGGGTCCCCCTGTACATACCCCGCCATACCCAACCCCCAGGTATTACCGCTGGTTTCGTTTTTATTTTAAATTTTTTTTTTTTTGATTTTTTTTTTTTAATAAGAATTTTCATTTTAAGCACATCTATACTGAAGGAATCTGTGCTGTGTATTGGGGGAGGGGGAGCTGGATCCAGAGCTGGAGGGGGTGGGCCCCGGGGGTGGGCGACGGCTCCAGGGGGCTCCCACTCTCTCTCTCTCTGTGTCCCTGTGTCCCCCGGCCCCCTCCCCCAGCCTCTGTCTCCTCAGTTTCCTCTTTCAAACTGTGAACTACTCACTTTCCGAGGCCCGCGCTCCCCTCGGCGATGGGGGAGCAGCCAGCCCCCTCTCCCCCGGCCTACCCGCTGGGTGTGGGCAGCTCGGGCCGCCCCGAGGAGGAGGGTGCCCCCCCCAGAGGCGGGTCGGGGCCCTGCAGAGCATACACGTACGTGTTCCCAACCCGTGTCCTTCGCTGAGCTGCCCCCTCCGGGCCCACAGGATCTCAGCCCTCCTGCCCCCCACTGTGAAGGGGCTGGCCGAGGGGTCTGAGCTGTCCCTGCCCCCAGCCTCACAGCCACCAGCACCCCCCACCGGGCCCCCGGACACACACACATACACACACACACACACAGGCCGGCAGATAACGGCCTGAATTCCTCCACTTCCCTGGCCGCCCCCCCAGGTCCCCCCCACACCGTGCTCCCTCCTTGCCCCGCAGGACGGGCCTAAGGGGGGCCCCTCTCATCCCCCGCACCCCTGGGCTCCGGGAGCTGGCTCTGCCCCGCCCCCTTTGCCCCAGGGCTGGGGTCTCGTCCCCCAGAGCCCGCTGGTGCACCTGTTACTGTGGGACTTTCCACTGAGATCTACTGGATAAAGAATAAAGTTCTATTTATTCTACGCCTGCCTCAGCCTCGCTGCCTCACTGCCTTCCCTCGGCCTCCGGGCAGGGGCTGGGCTGGGGGGTCCGAGGGGAGCCCTGGGGGCCCCTGTGCTGTGGCCCCTGAGACCCCGTGGCCGGAGACGGGGCAGCTCTGAGGAAGCCCTTCGCTTGCGTCAGGGAGCCCCCGTCTGGAGGTGGGGAAGGGAGAGGGGGAGAAACTGCCCGTCAGGGAGGTGCCGGCCCCAGATCTCAGGGGAGATTGGGTCTGGGGCTTGTTTAACAGCAGAGGAGTTTGCCTGGCCTGGGTGGCTCAGTGGTTGAGCGTTCACCCATGCACCCAGAGAAGGGTGGTTTGATTCCAGGTCCGGGCACATGGCTGGGTTGAAGCCTGATGCCCAGTAGGGGCTGTGTGGGAGGCAGCCGACGGATGCTCTCTCTCATCAGTGTTTCTCCCCCCACCCCCTCTCGAACATCAATTTAAGAAGAGAAGAGTTCTGTTTTTTGGAGCGAATACAGACGACCTTCACTGCAGAGAGGTAGGTGGCATGGGGACCTGGATCAGGGGCTCACGGCCACCTCACCAGAACACAGGATTGGGATGGAAGCTCAGGAGGCCAGCCTGTCATCCCGCCGGCCCAGGAGGCCGGCCTGCCCTCTGCCCCGCCCCCCGTGGCCCCGCGGGCAGGGAGCAGGAGAGCCCGTTGTGAGGGTTGAGGGTGGCGGCCCTCGAGGTATGCCCACCTCTCAGACACCACCCATCAGGGCTCAGAGAGGGTCACCCAGCAAGTTAGGGGGACATGGGGAGCAGTGCTCAGGGCCCCCACCTCTCAGCCAGGGCTCTTTCCTGGATCTCTGCAGCCCCGAAGGAAGCGTCCAATGCCGAGGTCGGGGGGCGAAGGGGGGGCTGGGAGGTGGCAGTGGGAGCTGAGTTTGGAACAGTTGGCATCGAGGTTGGGCAGGAAGATGCCTGGGCTCCAAGGGGTTTATTCCCCCCCCCTTCCGCCTGCCATTTCTACATCCAGCCACCAGGTGGCGGCAGCGCCTCGCTTATCTCACCACCGGGCCGTGGCTGGCGTGAGCATGGGATAGAGTCATATTTTCTCACGTTTTCTTTGTGAAACAGAAATGAAATTTAACACAACATACCTACACAGGAGGCGCGCATTTCAGTATGTAAATGCTTGGGCACCACCACAGGGCAGATATGACACAGTCCCATGTTTGCTTCTGCTTTTAATGAACACATTTGGATTTAAAGGAAGGAAGAGGGTCAGAAACCACGGTTTTCGTGAAGCTTAGGACAGTTCAAGAGTATGGTTGGAGGTTGCAATTAAAACTGACAGTGGGTAACAAAACCATGCGGACTCCCTTCCCCGCAGGGACCCCTTTAATGGCCTGATGGAAAACAGCCAGGCTTTCACGATGTCAGTGTTCAGCGGAACGTTCTTTAGCGGGGAGCGCCTCTCTGCCCACTAAATGCCAGCAGGGTCCCCCTCCCGTGACCAGAGCCGTGGCCCCTGCGTTTACCAAGTGCCTCCCCGGGGCAGTCCCTTTGCTGCCAGGACCCTCCAGAGCCTGAGGTGGCCCACGGTGGCCACAGTCCATCGCTGTGGGGCAGCTTCTCAGCCGCAGCACACGTGGCATCGTGTGCCCAGGGCCGTCCTGGGCATTGCAGGACGCTCAGCAGCGACAACCCTGGCCTCGGCCCCCTTGGAGGCAAAACGGGTCGTTGTGTGGGGAGGAAGAGCAACTTGGGTGTGGACTGGAGCCGGACACCCTGGGCGGCCAGAGAGGTGGGCTGGCAGCCTGAGAAGCAGGCCTGGGTGTGTGGGGATGGGGGTGTGGGTGGGGGGCAGGAGGGCAGGGTGCTGGACTTACTCTGAGAACAGGGGAGCCCGTAGGGCAGAGGGAGGGCTGTTTAGATAGTGTCCACAGGCTGCTGTGTGGAGTCTGGGCTGGAGAACCAAGGAGGAAGCTTGAAGGAGCACAAAGAGGAGAGGGCGGAGAGGACCAGGGCGGGGAGGGCCAGGGAAGTGGGGGAAAATGGGACAGAGAGAGTCATGGCAGCTGCAGCAGGTCTGAGGGTGCAGTCAGAGGGTGGCCCCGGGCGATCCTCCGGAAAGCAGCCCCACTGGGGCAGTGACGGAGAAGGACAGATGGGGCAGCGGAGAGACAGGACAGAGGCGGCCTGTCCACAGCTCTTCCTGTTCCCCCAGGAGGGGGAGGACGGTGGCCAGGAGCCCATCTTGGGGGGATTTCTTCTGAGTATGGAAGGTGTTCGTGAGCTGGGGGACACAGCAGCAGGGCAAGGAGGGTGGAGCTAGAAGCGAAAAGTCTCCCCCCCTGACCCACTGCCCACCCCCATTCTACCCCCAGGAGGAGGGCCCTGCCTCCGGTGGAGGGTCCCCGGGAGCCGACCAGACGGAGGCCTGCCCAGGTGCAGGGCACCTCCTCCCCGCCTTCCTGTGATGCCCTCGCAGGTGGGGAGGGAGCCACTACGGCTGCTGCTGGCACGGACCCTGGCCACCCACAGTGCGTATCATCCCCCCCCCCCATATACACCCAGCTGACACGGGGCGCACACAGGCCCATATACACCCAGCTGACACGGGCGCACACAGGCCCACACAGGATGTGCATGTGCATATACACGTGCACACAGTTGCCACAGGATGCCACCTGCGTGCACACACAAGAGGGCTCCCGGAGGCTTTCCGTGTGCACAGGCACACACCTCCCCTGTGGCCGTGCGTCCACGTGTGCGCGCGCGCGCACACACACACACACACACACACACACACACACAGGGGGCCCGCCCGGAGGCCACGCCTGCCTGCCCGGGGGCCTCGGGGCGCTGGAGTCGCCGTTGCTTTTGTCCCCAGCAAAGCCAGCAGGTCACCCCCTGAACCCCGCTGGACGCTGCTCCTCTCACTCCCCTCCCGCCGGCGCCCTCCTTTCCCCCGGGATCGGACCGTGGCATCTGGGCCTGCCCCGGTTCATGCCCTGTCCCAGCCGGGAGCAGAGGGAGGTGCGGACCGGGGCTGCGGGGCCCGCCGCCCGGAGGGAGGCAGCGTCCCGGGAACAGATTTCGCAGAAGCCACTGCTCGCTCCTGCGGCGTCCGCGGTGCGGGGTCCCCCCCGCGCTCCCCCGCGCCGGGCGGCCGCTCTAGATGGTCAGGTCCCGGCGGACCGTGGCCAGAGACGCCTTGCTGCGGCCGCTGCCCTCGCTGTCGCCGGCGGCGGGCGCGCGGTGCGCATAGGCGGGCGGCGCGCAGGGGGCGGGCGCGGCGCGGCGCGGGGCCGGGGGCGCGGGCGGCGGCGGCGGCGGGAGCAGCCCCTGCGCCTCCTCCTCGCGCGCCCGGTCCGCGCGGGGGTCGCGCTGGGCGGCGCGGCGCGGGCGGCCCTTCCAGAGCAGGTGGGCCAGCTCGGCCACGCTGAGCAGCGCGGACAGCAGCCCCACGGCGAAGTAGAAGACCACGAAGACCGTCTTCTCGGTGGGCCGGCTCACGAAGCAGTCCACGGTGTGCGGGCAGGGCGCGCCGGCGCACGCGAAGTGCGGGGCCACGCGGAAGCCGTAGAGCAGCGCCTGGCCCGCCAGGAAGGCCAGCTCGGCCAGCAGGCGCAGCGCCACGCTCAGCAGGTAGCAGCGGCGCGCGCGGCGGGCGCGCAGGGCGGGCGGCGCAGGGCGGGCGCCGTCGGGGGGCCCCCGGGCGCCGGGCTTGCCCTCCTCGGCCCCCGCGCCGGCGCCGGGCTCCTTGCTGGCCTGGTGCATGGAGTAGATGACGAAGAGCACGGGCGGCGCCGACAGCAGCAGGATGTGGAAGAGCCAGAAGCGGTAGTGCGAGACCGGGAAGGCGCGGTCGTAGCACGTCTGGCGGCAGCCCGGCTGCAGCGTGTTGCACACGAACTCCTCCTGCTCGTCCTCGAACACCGCGCCGCCCACCGTGGCCAGCACCAGGATGCGGAAGATGAGCATGACCACCAGCCACAGGCGGCCCACCAGCGGCGACTGCAGCTGCACGGCGTCCAGCAGCGAGCTGAGGAAGGCCCACTCCCCCATGGCGCTGCGGGCGGGGGGAGGGGGGGTGTCAGCGGCCGCAGGCAGGGCCTGCCCCCGCCCAACCCCATACTCCAGGGGGACCTCCTCTACCTTCCCGGTGAGTCGGGGGTCAGCGAGGTCTGGGTTTAGCAGGGTTTTTGTGGGAACAAAGCAGTTAGCAAGGGGGGCGGGGGCAGGAGGGGTTTGGTAGGTCTCAACCAGGGGTGCTCCTCTCCCTGGGGCCCATGGGTGCTGGGAGGAGCCCCCCCCTGGTGCTCCAGCCTGACCCTTGGGCCTGCTCATGGGCCGTAGGGCCCTCCAGAGCCCAGATTCGCAGGCGAGGGCCCTGGAGACCCCCAGGGCCGCCCTGTGGAAGCAGAGCCCAGCTGTGCCCTATGTGCTTTCCCCGGGCGGGAGTGGTGCCTCGAACCCAGGACGCCAGACCCAGTGTGGTGCCCTGCCTGCCGTTCTCTTTCCCTGCCCTTTGCACTGAAGTGGGTTTCTCTCTGGATTGTGACACAAAGTGGCTTCTCTTTGGGGTGACACAAAGGCGTCCTACCCCGTAACTCCACCAGGAAGGCTCCTCTGCCCTGGGTGTCCCCTGCCCGGCGCCCCCACTGAGGCAGGAATGCGGCCCAGGCCTCTCCCACCTCCCCCGGCGCCCCAGCTCCCAGTTCCCCACGTCTCCTGAGAGAGGCTCCCCAACACACACTCACACAGGCCCCACAGGCCCCGGACACCCCCAGACCCTCCGTCGGCCCCACTCACCCTGTCCCTGGAGCGGAGGTGTTAAAGCCGAGCGAGGAATCTTGGGAGATGTCTGGGACCTGCTCCTCCTGGTCCCTCTTTCATTTTCCCTTTCAGATTTGGCCGGGATGGGTGACAGGACAGGATGGCCTCCTGTCGGAGAGGGGCTAGCTCTCCCCCCTCTCTTAAAGGGACAGGGTGACCCTGTTGGCTGGGTCCACCCTGGGGAGCAGACGTAGGGACACACCCCTTACTGGATCCTGCCAGCCCTCCCTTCCCAACCCCCTCCCCCCAATCTCACAGCTGTGTCTCCATCTGGAAACGGGGGAGGGGGCTGCACCCCTTATTGAGGAAACCTTACAGAAGCCGGTCCCCGGCAGACTCCCCCAGACTGGAAGGCCTGGGCCCGCTGTCAGCGAACTGTCTCTTTAAAGGCGGTCCCCGGGGCCGGAGGGCTGTGTGGTGTGGAGTTGGGGGCGCTGGCATTTCGGAGGCAGCAAAGCAGGGAGCCCCGGTTCCAGCTCTGCTGCTGACCTTGGACAGTCAACGAGCTCCTCTGGGCCAGGGCCTCCTGGTGAGTCAACCCAGGCGACGGCGGCCGACCCCCGCTCCCTCCCAGCTCCGCGCCTTCACGCCGAGGTCCAGCCCCCGCACAGAGGACAGGACCCAGCACGGAGAACCCCCACGGACAAGCGTCTAGGTACCGAGAGGGCCGCCTCGGGTGGTTAGAGAACAGCTGCTACTTCCTGCTTTCTGCAGGTCCGGGCCTCCTCGGAGGAGCTGCCTTACAGCGTGGGAGACAGACCGAGGCCCCTCCCGGAGGCTCCGAACGGATCGCCTCCTGTGGCTCTGGGACACCCCACGGGACCCCAGCAGCGGGGGAGCAGGGGGAAGAGGGGGACCCTGTCTTTCTAGGCACACCAGGCCCCCCCTCGCACATGCACCTGCTCTGGGCAGAGGCCGGGATGACCTTGGCGGGAGGGAAGCTGAGACCCAAAGCCACTGTCCACCCCCCGCGGGCGGGCGGGCGGGCGGGCGGGCCGGTCCCCGGGGTTTTTCCAGGCGGGGCCGGTGGGCTGACCCAGCAGGGAGCAGGGACAGGGCAGGGACCGTCCCTGGACAGTTGGGGGTGGTGGTGGTGTGTGTGAGGTGTGTCCCGGAGCCCCACGGCTGGGCGGGGCTGGGGGTTGGAGAGCAGCTTTGCCAGGAGCAGGGGGAGGTACGGGGGAGGTCTGCAGGGCCCCCACCCCACTTCCTGTTTGTGTGTGTGTGTGGGGGTGGCCCCACATGTGCTTTCCCTTGGACTCCATCCAGGACGGTTCCTCCCCAGCCGCCCGTTCCCGAGGGAACCCGGCCCGCTGGTGGAAAGAGTCGGGGTTTTTCCAGGCTGGGCCGGGCCCCTGAGCCAGAGGCGCCTCTCCCAGCCCTTCCTGACACCAGCCCGGGGGTCCCTGTCCACATGGAAAACCCACAGGCCCCCAGGCTGGAGGGAGAGGAAACGCCGCTGAGCAGGTGAGTCCTGGCACCCTGCCCGCACAGGAGGGGAGGCAGGCCCACCCGGGGCCAGGCCCGCCGCCCAGACAAAGCCCCGGCCGCCCCCAGGGAGCAGCCAGGCTCCACGGAGGCCCCGTCCATGACGGGCTCACGAGGATGAGCTCAGAACCTGGAGGGTCAGCCCGCTGTGTACTTGCTGTGTGACGGTGGCTGAGGGGGTGATGGCGAGGGCGGGGCGGGCGGTGGAGAGCCCGGGTTCGCCCTGCCGTGCCCCCGGCCCCGGAGGCCAGCGGCCAGGCCCAGGAGACGCTGCAATCACGGCCCGTCCTCCGCCCAGATAGCGCCGTCCGGCCGGCCGGGCGGAGGTGTTGCTGATGCTCACCAGGCCGGCGGCGTGCGGCTCCAGTCTGGGCCGAGCTGCGGCCCCTGCTGCCCTGGGCACGTTCCACCCCTGCCCAGACCCCGCCCTGCCCCGCCTGGCTGTGGAGCCGCTGCACGTAATTGTTTGCACCCAGTAAGGGGCAGCGTCAGGAAGCAGCTGTATCTCTTCTTCCCTCTAACGTATAAACGTATAAACGTCTTTACAGAAATGTTTGTTGCCTTTGAGTGAGGCCCTCACCGCCACCCTCAGTGGAATTTAACCCCCTACCTCTCAGCCCTTTTCTCAGCTTTGTTTTCTTTGCTGATCACTGGATAACATGCTTTTTCTTTTCTTTTAATAAAATATTTTATAGATTTTTTACAGAGAGGAAGGGAGAGGGATAGAGAGTTAGAAACATCGATGAGAAACACCAATCAGCTGCCTCCTGTACACCTCCCACTGGGGATGTGCCTGCAACCAAGGTATGTGCCCTTGACCGGAATCGAACCTGGGACTTCTCAGTCTGCAGGCCGTTGCTCTATCTACTGAGCCAAAGTCAGGGCTGCTTTTTCTTGTTTATCCTGTGCAGCATCCATTTCTTCCACTACCCCGTCAGCTTCAGGAGGGCATGGACAATCAATGCTTTATTCCTTGTCCTGTCTCCAGCACCCAGAACAGTTTCTGGCACGTAGTAGGTGCTCACTAAATATCAGTCAGGTGGGTGAGTGGATGAAGTGGGGCAGGAGATTACAGAGGGTGCAGGTCTTCTCTGCCTCAAATGATGAGAACCGTGGTGGATCTCCTGCCTCAAGCTCTTGTTCTGGTGTCTTCTAGAGCTCGTGATCACTGAAGCGGCCCATCAGAATGTCCAGACCGGGGTAGAAATGAAAACTGAAAGATGGATTGGTGGTAAAAACCCTCCTGCCCCCAGCTCAGCCCGAGTAAAAAGAAACAAATCTGACTTCGGAAAGTACCGATTTGAAAAAGTTTGGCAGTTTCTTATAAAGGTAAGCATCTATATCTATATCTATCTATCTATCTATCTATCTATCTATCTAAAAGCCTAATATGCAAATTGCCCCCTTGGAGTTCAATCACTCACTATGACGTGAGCTGACCACCGGGGCGGGTGGGGGTGGGGGGCTCGGAATGAAGGAAGGCCCCTGCCCGCAGCTGGAAAGCCTGATTGGTCCCGATCACAGGCCAGGCCTAGGGGCCTTACCGCTGCATGCATTTTGTGCACTGGGCCTCTAGCACCTTTATGATGACCCAGCAATTCCAAATTGAGTATCTACCCAAGAGAAATGAGAAAATATGTCTACAAAAAACATGCTAATGTTCCTAACAGCTTTATTTATAATATAATAGGCTCAAACTGGAAACAACTCAATCTATCAACAGGTAAAAAGATAAATAATCCGTACAATGGAATAATATTCAGCAATTTAAAACACAACAACCAGGGGACTAGCCTGGCCTGTGTGGCTCTGTTGGTGGGAGCATCACCCTGTTCGGGGCACATGCCTGGGTTGCAGGTTCAATCCCAGGTCAGGGCGTGTGCACGAGGCATTGATGGATTGATGTTTCTCTCCCTTCCTGTCCCTCTCTAAAAAGAAATAAAATAAAATAGGAGGAAACATTTTTTGTTATTGTTGTTAACCCTCATTTGAGGATGTTTTTTCCATTGATTTTTTTAGAAGGGAGCGGGAGAGACAGAGAGGGAAATAGCGATGTGAGAGAGACACCTCGATTGGTTTTCTCACTCGTGACTGGAATTGAACCTGAGACCCTTCAATCCCGAGGCCGACACTCTAACCTAGGGGTGTCGAACTCAATCAGAGAAGGGGCCAAAATCTAAAATCCAGCCTAAATCGCGGGCCGAATGGTTTACTGAACAGTCATAAACTGTCATTGTGATGGAAACGCAGCGGAGTGCAGTGATGACAGTGCGGTGCGGGCCACATTGCAAGGCCTGGCGGGACGGATTTGGCCTGCGGGCCTTGTGTTTGACACATGTGCTCTAACCACTGAGATAACCGGCTAGGGCAAGAGGAAACTATTGATACAAGCAACAGCATGGATGAATTTCAAAAGCATACTGCCAAATGGAAGAAGCCCGGCACAAAAGCACACATACTGAACGGTTCCATTGGTATGAAGTTCTAAAATAGGTAAAACTAACCTGTGATGGTGAGATTCAGATCAATCCTTGTCTGGGGTTGGGGTTAAAGAGACACATACGAACTTTTCTGGGAGATGGAAATATTTTGTCTTGGTTGTGATGGTGGTTATGCAGGCATTTACATTTGTCAAAAGTCATCCATCTGTACACTTAGAAGGGTACATTTTATGCATGTAAATTATTCCTCAATAAAGTTGCTCTAAAAAGGAGAAAGTAATGTTGGTCTGTCCTGTAACTCTTTTGAGGGCATAGGAGGGAATAAGACTCTCGCTAAGTCATCATTACACACGTCTTTGTCCACCTCTGGGCAGGCTTTTTTCCTCTTCTTCCTCCATGTTTGTTAGATGTGACCAGGGTCTCATGGTCTGGGCCATTCTTACTAAATGCTACTCTTGCTAAATGTTGAAAGGTAACACAGTGCCGAAACCGGTTTGTCTCAGTGGAGAGAGCGTTGGCCTGCAGACCAAAAGGTCCCAGGTTTGCTTCCGGTCAGGGGCATGTACCTTGGTTGCGGGCACATCCCCAGTAGGGGGTGTGCAAGAGGCAGTTGATCAATAATTCTCTCTCATCGATGTTTCTGATTATCCCTCTCTCTTCCTCTCTGTAAAAAATCAATAAAATATATATTTTTTAAAAAGGTAGCACAGTATTTTGCAGACCAACTGTAAACAGGATGAACTCAACCAATATGTGTAGCGCACTGCAAAAAAGTCAACATGCAATGGACTAGAGCTATGGTCGGCAAACTGCAGCTGGTGAGCCACATACTGAATGTGGCTCTTCCACAAAATACCGCGGCCTGGGCGAGACTGTTTAGAAGAAGTGGCGTGTTTAAAAAATGTGGCTCTCAAAAGAAACGTCAATCGTTGTCCTGTTGTATTTGGCTCTTGTTGATGAATGAGTTTGCTGACCAGTGGACTAAACAAATAGTGTCTAGTTTTCAAGAGCAACTTGACCTCCTGCTCTAGAGATGTCATTGTCAGGAGTTACGGCTGGCCAGCCTTTTGCAAATGAGCTGGAGTGGGAGGGGAGGAGAGCTGTGCTTTACATCATCTGTGAATCCTTTTGTATCTGAGCGCTGTATAAACAGAAAAGACTGAAAAGGCTCCTCGGAAGATGCATTGATGGGCATTATCCTCCCTTCAGTCACCCCACCAGCACCCACTTTACTGTGGCTGACAAATAACGTGAAGAAGGTTCTGGGCTGAACACAGCTCAGCAGCTTTGCAAACTGTTTCCACAGGTACATTGTCAGGTGGGGGCTGCACAAAAGCTTTCTGCTGGCACCCGGAAGCGAACTTGTGCCCGCCAAGCTTGGCATTTTTAATCCTCACAACTGAATAGGCAAAACTCAACAATTCTTTGCATTTCTTCTTTCTTTTCTCTTTTTCTTTTTCTTTGCTGCAAAAAAAAGCTTTATTGTTTCCATTTGGTCCAAAGCCTGGGAGAGGGCTTCAGGGAGAGGCTCAGGTAAGAGCCAGACGCCAGGGGGATGCCGAGGGGCCCCTCAGAGGCCTCTGGGCTCCAAAGGTGCTTGAGCGGGAGCCTTTGAAAGAGGTACTCGCCCACCGGCCTGGGGGCTGGCCTGCGGAGGTGAGTCAGGTGTCGCCCATCTTCCTGATGAGGCTCACCTCCTCACCCGGAAGTGGTTCCCCAGGAAGTCACGAGCTGAGGGTCTGCGCGGGCAGAACCAGGGCCTGCAGCTCCGAAGGGCCTGGGTCAGCTCCTCTCCAGGGCCAGGGCGGCTGCCATGGCCCTGAGTTTATCCCACTCGCCTTGGGGAGGCTTCAGCACGTCCTGGAAGAGAAGGCGGCCACCAGGCTGGTTTCACAACTTTAAGAGCCGCGCAGGGCCCTTCTCCCACAACTCTCTGGGAAGCGACCACATCATCGCCTTCAAAACAGAAGCCCCGAGAGAGGCAGGCGCGGGCGCCCGCGGATGCAGGCTGGCCAGGCGGCTGATCGCAGCCTCCACCTCAATGGAATAATTCCGACGAATTTGGAAGCTCGCGGTTGTCCGGCAGTAAGGAGTTAAGGTAGGAAAACCCCGGTGTGCTGGTTGGTCTCGGAGGCGGTTCTGAAGGTGGTGACTGGTTAAGAGGCTGGAGAGAGGCCGGAGAAGGGACGTCCCTGGGTCTGTTACGTCCAAACACTGCAGAAGCAGGAGACAGATCTGGGACCGCGGGGGGGCACTATCATTTATCCTTTTTTCTTTTTAAGAAAAGGTCCCAGGTTCAATTCCGGTCCAGGGCATGTACCTTGGTTGCGGGCACATCCCCAGTAGGGGGTGTGCAGGAGGCAGCTGATTGATGATTCTCTCTCATCGATGTTTCTAACTCTCTATCCCTCTCCCTTCCTTGCTGTAAAAAAATAAAATACATTAAAAAAAAAAAAAGTTTTCTATGTGCTTGTATTTCAGGAAAATGGCCAGAAATCACTAAAGTCCCATTGCACCAGGACAAATTTATCTAATACAATTTTTGAATCCCTTATTTTCTCAATAACCATTTTTGTAACTTATAATTGATGTGATACCTACTGATTTAAGCAATGTTTCATACTTATGCATAGAAATAACTACATTTTATAAAGGGTTTCAATGTGTATAATCACTTAAATTTATTAGCACCAAAATTTTAACTCCTAAGATGTCAGTGCCTTAAGGAATGAAGAGTTAAGGGCTGTATTATTCCCTTGGAGTCTTTTTATTTATTTATTTAAAAAAATATTTATATTGATTTTAAAGAGGGAGAAGGATAGAAACATCAATGATGAGAATTATGAGTTGCCCACCTCCTACACGCCCCACATTAGGGATCCAGCCCCCAACCTGGGCATGCGCCCTAACCAGGAATCAAACTGTGACCTCTTGGGTTATAGGTCAATGCTCAACCACTGAGCCATGCCAGTTGGGCCCTTCATGTCTTTTTAGTTAGCAAGTACTTTACTGATCCGGATCCGGAGCAAACTTCTACTTTCTTTTTTTTTTTTTTTTAATATATTTTATTGTTTTTGTACAGAGAGGAAGGGAGAGAGATAGAAACATCGATGAGAGAGAGTCATCCATCAGCTGCCTCTTGCACACCCCCTACTGGGGATATGCCCGCAACCAAGGTACATGCCCTTGACCGGAATCGAACCCGGACCCTTCAGTCCCCAAGCCGACGCTCTATCCATTGAGCCAAACCGGTCTCGGCCAAACTTCTACTTTCTAAAGGGAAATGTTTCTGGTTATTTTTCTTTCTAAAGAGGATGTATATGCTTTTCATCCACTATTTATTTTGTAAACAAATGCGCACTCACCAGACAGGGATTTTACCTTTGATTTGTAACCGGCTTTCTTTTTTAAAATCTATTTTTATTGACCGGCTGCCTCCTGCACACCCCTGATATGTGCCCTGACTGGGAATCGAACCATGATCTCTTGGTTCATAGGTTGCTGCTCAACCACGAAGCCACAATCATTCTTAATGAGTAACTTGTATTCCTCATTGTACCATAATTTAAAATTTAGGTTACTTTAGATTTTATTTTATCAAAGAACTGTCAATATTTTGTATATGGCTTTTTGGGAGATAATTATAGATTTACACATACTTGTGAGAAATAATACAGAAATCCCTACACACTTATCCTATTTTCCCCAATGGAAATTATAATTATCAGCTTAACTACACTATTGTTTTCCGTGTTATTAGAACTTGCATTTGTGTGTTTTTACTTAGCTTTTTGCATGTCCAATTCTGTTTTTGAACTAAATTTCTTTCTTTTAATTTATTTTATTGATTTTTTTTACAGAGAGGAAGGGAGAGAGATAGAGAGCTAGAAACGTCGATGAGAGAGAAACATCCATCAGCTGCCTCCTGCACACCTCCTACTGAGGATGTGCCCGCAACCAATGTACATACCCTTGACCGGAATCGAACCTGGGACCTTTCAGTCCGCAGACCGACGCTCTACCACTGAGCCAAACCGGCTTTGGCTGAACTAAATCTCTTAAAGTGAGAATTGCTAGGACAAAGAGTGTGGCCTTTTTGTCCAGGTTCTGATGCAAGGGCTCATTTTTCCTTTTAAAATACATTTTATTGATTTTATAGAGGAAGGGAGATGGATAGTCAGAAACATTAATCAGCTGCCTCCTGCATGCCCCCAACTGGGGATAGAGCCCACAACCAAAGGTACTTACCCTTAGCCAGAATAATACCCGGGACCAAGAGCCAAACCAGTTAGGGCCTTTTTTTTTTTTCTTCTTTTTCTTTTTTTATCAACAGTACCCTTGGGATATGTTTAGGATAACCTTCTGTAACTCGTTTACTTTTTTCCTAGTACCTTTAAAAAAGTCTATTTTAATTAATATAGTAGAGGCCTGGTGCATGAATTTGTGCATGAATTCGTGCATGAGTAGGGTCTATCCCAGACAATTGGGCCAATTGGGGCCAGCCGGCAGGGATAGGGAGGGACTGTAGATTGGCCAGCCAACTGGAGGAATGGACCATTGGACGTTGGCTGGCCACAGGTTGGCTGTGGGAGCATACTGACCACCAGGGGGCAGCTCCTGCATTGAGCGTCTAACCCCTGGTAGTCAGTGTGCATCATAGCTACTGGCCGGTTGTCAAGTCACAGTCTCTCAGGCTTTTATATGATTTTTATTGATTTCAGAGAGGAAGGGAGAGAGGTAGAAACATCAATGATGAGAATCACTGATTGGCTGCTTCCTGCACACTCCCTACTGGGGATCAAGCCTACATCCCGGGCATGTGCCTTGACCAGAATCAAACAAGGGGCCCTTTAATTGGCAGGCTGATGCTCTATCCACTGAACCAAACCAGTTAGGGCTAAAAATAGTTTTATTTATTTTTAAATATTTTATTGATTTTTTACAGAGAGGAAAGAGAGGGATAGAAAGTCAGAAACATTGATGAGAATCATCGATCAGATGCCTCTTGCACAACCCCTACTGGGGATGTGCCCGCAAAGTACATGCCCTTGAATGGAATAGAACCCAGAACCTTTTAGTCTGCAGGCCGACGCTCTACCCACTGAGCAAAACCGGTTTCGGCAATAGTTTTATTTTTGACATTTAAATATTTAGCATATTTGAACTTAACTTTGGTGTAAGATGTGAGGAGGGGTTGGATTTATCTAATATTGTTTTTTCCCCCCAATTAGCCAGTTGCCCCAATTTACTGATATCAAGTACTAGTTGAGTAGGTGTATTAAAATAGTTGACCAACAAACAAGAAAAAAGTTGAAGTAGTGAGTTGTTTAAAAATATACACACATTGTTTAAAACTCTTTACTGATGTAGGGCCAAGGCCTTTTGAGTGTGAAGAAAAACGCAGTACTCATGTATAAAATCCCTGGAGGAAAAACCGATTGGCCTCAATTAGGTCATGGTGCCTCCCATCTCTTAGACCCACCACTATGGCCAGGGGCAGTCAGGAATATTATATGATCAGAATAGTTCTCAAAAGGAAGTGAAGAAAAGTGTCTACATGCTTATTAAAAAAAGAAGCGAAGAGGGATTTCACTGTAAGAGAAAGGTATAATGTAGGGAGAAAAAAGAACAATCAATGGGTTGCAATGTTTAGAATGTTTTATTGTAGTACAAAATTGTTGGAATTAAGCTAAATAGAAATACATAGCAAATATTTACAAGAACATTGATAACACCACTGAAGTCACACAAACGTAAAAGGCAAAAAGGTCTTAAAAAGTTTGCAAGTTGAATATAGAGATTTCCTAAATGGATATAACAGTTCATTTCATTGCTGAGTATGGCATCAATAAAATACCCAAGACCTCTGAGTAAATGTTGATCTCACTTTTCTGCCATCCAGCACTCTATAGAAATTTGTTTTTGGGAAATTCAGACTCAGAGGCAGTAAGAAAAGTCAAAAGTTGAGATAGTCACATAACTTATGGTATAATTTCCTTCGTCCTATTATTGTCTGTGTTGAGGTTAAACAGCAGGGTGTATTCCTTTAGCTTCTGCTGATATTCTGAAGAATATGAAGCATTTAAACAACTTATTACTTGAACAAAAATTCAAAAAAGGCTGAGTGGGGCATATATTTTGTACTAGAACTACAAAATTCTATCTGATGGAAAATTACTTATATAACGAAGAGAAAACAGAGAATTAATCATGCTTTATCTCATATTTATAAAAGTAGCAAAGGAGGTACAGTAGATAGAAATCAGATTTTAAAGACAAAAGGAAAAACAGACTAAAAACATAGACAAAGCAGAGAAAACAGTGCCCATGAGATGGGCCACCCACTAGATGGTGTTATAAAGGGATAAGGGACATTGCCATTGTGGTCTAGACACTTCACTTCGATGATTCCAGATTAAAACTAGCTTCCCCAAACTAAATTCACAGGGGAGGAAACAAACAAAAAAAGATTGAGGTAATTTTAAATCATTACTTAACATAGTTTTAAAACAGATCTTCATCTGATTCTTCGAGGTACTTAATAGGTTTCTTTGTCCGTACAGATTTTGCCCGAGGAGCCACAGCTGAGTCCAAGTCCAGATGGAAGTCACTCTCCCCCTTGGATTTCTAAGAGGAAAGCCAAAGAAATTTGCACATGTTAACCTGAGAGCAGAATTTCAATGTAAAAAATATGTAATCTAAGTCTGAGACAACTCTCATGGACTAAGAGGTATGTACCTATATTACTAAAGTAAACACAGTAAAAGCTAATGAATTGGGACTTAAATTTTCTTACAAACGTGCTAAATTACTAAGAGCATAGCTTGGTTATGTTTTAAAATACCTACAGCAGCTCTAACCAGGTTAGCTCAGTGGATAGAGTATTGGCCTGTGGCCCTAAGGGTCCCGGGTTTGATTCCGATCAATGGCAAGTGACTTGGTTGCAGGCTCCTCCTCAGCCCGGGCCCTGGTCAGGGCTCGTGCAGGAGGCAACCAACTGGTATGTTTCTCTCACATCGATATTTCTCTCAGTCTTTCCCCTTCTCTTCCACTCTCTCTAAAAACCCATGGAAAAATATCCTTGGGTGAGGATTAACACACACACAAACAACAAAACAACTAAAATCTACCCACAGCAAAGAATTAGTTAGGATAAGCACCCACCTTGCTTGTAACTGTTTTAGAAATCATTTTCTCAAAATTAGAATCGGAATCATCAGAAGTGGATGGCTTCCTTTTGCGGCGAATCTTGGTTTTGGGGGGATCAGGTTTTTGAGGGACATCAGAAGTCAAGCTTTGCTCCTTTTTGGCTGCTTTTGGTGCAGCCCTTTTTTTGGCACCTGTAGTGGAGGTGGAAGACTGACCTGCAAGTCAACACAAGCATTCATCATGGCCATGCTCAGATGAATTGTTCTCACTGTAAACTTTCTTTAGCAATCTGTTGACGGCTTATATAAATACAGGAAAAAGACAAGAGCTGAAAATACATTAGAGAATCAGTGTTCTTAAGCATCCATTTAAAAAATAAGTATATGTTTTATTTTAAACATTTGCAAACTGTGTATAAATCCTGTTCCTGTCATAGCAACGAGTTAGATAATGTCTGGCATTTTGAGAAACATGCTAATCTTAAACCTTTTGACCACCCTTTGTTATTATAAACATCTATAAAGATTATATTTGCTTTTGTTTGGAATTTAATTTCAATATCAATAGTAAATTTTGGGGATAAAAAATTAAGATTCACTTGTAGCAACTAATATTAGTTAATCCCAATATTATTAACACATCTCTAAGACTTAGGCTTACTTTTTGTCGCTGTCTTCTTTACTGTCAGGTGACCTCCTGGTTCATAGGTCAACTTTCAACCACTGAGGCACGGGGCTGGGCAGCACATTATACTTTAACACCTTAAGTGTAGAACCTCTTTATTTGCAAAATTAAACCTAATGAACAACATCAATGTAATGCTAACGAGAACCCACTTTTATTTTCAAAGGCAGGACTTGGCTAATGTCTGCATTAGAACCCGGTGGATCCGGGCACCCAGGAAAGTAGACCCTCACTCCTTTTACTTAATACACACCTGACGTGGCGCTCTTCTGTGGCTTCAGTTCTTTGTCTGTATGTCTAGAAGAAAAAAATTACATCCTGAAAACCAATTCTAAATGTGTCAAACAACAGAGAATACATACTCAGCTATTAAAAATAATCATGATAAAACCCATATTAGAAAAGATACTTACTTTGGGGAAGTTTTGGTCTTAACTGGACTAGCATCTGATGGAACAAAATTTTCATCTTCACTTTTTTTATCAATATCTGAAAAATCTTCATCTGAATCCAAATCCACTGTGAATTTGGCTTTTGCTATTAAAAACATACATATACAAAGAATCAAAGAGGATAACGGTCTATTTGATCCAGATTGATATAACATTTTATGAAGATTTAAGCTTCAGTTTAATTTCCTAACAGATGATTTAGTTTAAAAAATTTTAATATAATTACTGCTCTAAAATAGAACAATTTCTGGGATTAAGTGCCCTGAAATATATTGGCCATTAAAATCTTAGTGTATCTACATATTCGTCAGTTTTTCTTACTTGCTGCTCTTCGTGGCTCTATTTCTCGTGGAGGGACATCAAAATCACTTTCATTACCGCTCATATCTGATTCTGAATCAGACCAGGGGTTTCTCTTCTTTCCTTTTTGGATTGGTTTAAATGGCAATGTACTTTGTTTCTTTGTCTTGATACCTAGAAGGGAGATAAAACAACTTTACATATTCTTAGACCCACTTTTCTCTATCATCCATCCTTCAAATATTTCTGGAGCTCTATGCTAGTATTGGAATACAAGGTGAACACAAACAGAAGTTTCTTCTCATGGAGCATACAGTTTGGTCAATGAACCCCATAATGTGTTGCAGAAAACAAATGGTGGCGTAGGTGAATCACCTGTATTTGCAGCCTCCCACAGCACATCAAAATTACTAAAATACCAGACAACTATCATTCAGAACTGCTTAATAGGGGGCTGAATGGAAGTCCTATGACTAGAGAAGTAAAGAAGAAAGCATACTGAGACTGGTACGAGAGGCAGAGGCGCTGAATGGGCTGGAATGCCTCCCACATGTGCTGCTTTTTTATTTATTATTATTTTAAAAATATATTTTATTGATTTTTTACAGAGAGAAAGGGAGGAGGATAGAGAGTTAGAAACATCGCTGAGAGAGAAACATCAATTAGCTGCCTCCTGTACCAGCAACCAAGGTACATGTCCTTGTCCAGAATCGAACCCAGGATCCTCCAGTCCACAGGCTGACACTCTATCCACTGAGCCGAACCAGTCAGCTGTGCTGCTTTTTTATAGGGAGGGAGACAGTCTCTGTGGTTGCTGCCTGTGAGGAGCTAGGGGTCCCAGCCCCATACCAGTCTCCCTTCTCCCCCAGCCCAGGCTCCCAGAGCTGGGAAGAGAAATCCCCATAACTACAGGCTGTAAAACCCAGCAGGGATTGGGGCTGTGACAGGGAGACTGCTGGAGACTCAGGTGTTCCTTTTTAAAGGGCTGGTGCGGGAAGTGAACTGAATGTCTTGCTTACTCTGAGCTCCAGCGTCAGAATGAGGCTCTGCGAGACCCAGGCACATAAGGGGAGGAACTAGATTGTTTGGCATTGGGGCAGGAACTTGGAGGCAGCTTTCTCCCAGACCTGGGTTCTCACAGGGGTTCCTGTGCTGGGACCTCCCCAGTTGCAGGGCTGACTCATAGCCTTATCTTTTTGCTTCGCCTTGGTTATTCCCTGAGACCCTGCCCCATCTACCGTATTTTGCAATCCCACCCAATCTCTTTGTAGTGACTTGTCCTTGCTCAAGCTTCAGACTTTACTAAAATATCTCAAACAAGCTGCAGCTGGACTTAGCAATAAAAGATGCAAGACCCTGCTGGAGCACGAGCCTAATTTGCTTCATAGCTGCACCTTGCCTGGCCACCTCCAAACCCAATACAAATAGCACCTGCAGGGTGGCCCTAGGCCGTGGGTGATTTTGCATCTCCCTGGAGGCCCTAGAGCCAATGCTCCCAGGGGACATCTTCAGACCATAGCAGACTATATCTGTACACATCCATTAGCAACACACTCAGGGGCAGGCTCAGCAAGCACCAAAGTCCCATTGAAGCAAGTCCTGCTTCATAGGGGTGTTTCTGCATAGCAGCTCTCCCACTGTAGCCGTAGCTGGTCCTCATAGCCAGTTTGGCCTGGAGGTCAATTCCTCCCAATGAAACAATCCAAATACCTATCAATTGATGAACAAAACAAAATATAGTATCTCTACAATGAAATATTATTTGGCAATAAAAATGAAGGAAGTATTGATACATGTTTACTACATGGGTGACCCTGGAAAACGTTATTCTAAATGAAAGGAGCCAGACACAAAAGAAAACATATTATATGATTTCTATTTATATGAAACGTCTGGAATAGGTAAATCTAGAGATAGTATTAGATTAGTGGTTGCCTAGGGAGAGGAGTTGGGAGGAAATAGGGAGTGACCTTCAATGGGCACAGTGTTTCTTTTTTTTTAAAAAAAAAATATATATTTTATTGATTTTTTACAGAGAGGAAGGAAGAGATATAGAGAGCTAGAAACGTCAATGAGAGAGTAACATCAACCAGCTACCTCTTGCACACCCCCTACTGGGGATGTGCCCGCAACCAATGTACATGCCCTTGACCGGAATCGAACCCGGGACCCGTCAGTCCGCAGACCGACGCTCTACCACTGAGCCAAACCGGTTTCGGCCACAGTGTTTCTTTTGAGGGGGCAAGAAATTGTTCTAAAACTTTGGAGAATACTGGAACCATTCATTGGTCCACTTTAAAGTGTGAATTTGGCATGTCAATATGTCAATGAGGAAGTTAAACAAAGTAGATACTCAACAAAGGCATTAATCTTAAACTTTAGGGATAATACAAACATGACTAAGATGTGGTCACTATACTCAAGCTTTTAACTGGCTAGAAGGCAGAATCTAATGAACTGAGTTTGTTTTCTTTGTATCCCAACTGAGGAATCCAAGTTGCCAAATTAACAAATATTTCATTACAAAATGATCTCTACTCAAACCAAATCCCAAAAACAATGTTAGTTAGGTTCAAACTACTTCAGATGTAGCTCTCCTTCATGTCATGCACTAAGAATTTATTGAATATCTATGTGGAATGTGATAGGTAACAAACACAATTTTATCTCAACTTGATTATTTCCTTAAAATGTTTAATACCTGGTTCTCTTTTCTGTTTCTTCTCTAATCTTTGTTTTAGGCTTCCTGGTTCCACACTGTCCTCTTGAGGGCTTCCTTCAGTATTTTCATTCTAAAGGACAGCAAGATGAGAATGATCAAGCTCTGTTAAATTTTATTACAATAAAACCTCGATATAACATATATTCGGGAGAGGGGGGTACCTGTTAAAGCTGAAAGTCCATTATATAACAAAGTAGATTTTCTGAATGTGCATATTTAAAATTTGTCAAATTAGTGAGTTTATCCGTTTTCACTTGTGTAGACACGTTTGTGTAGTTAGAAGTTTAATGTCACAGAAAAATTATATATTGAATAGATCTAATCAACGTGTGCCTTCACCCATCACTTCGAGTAAACAAGGGCACACTGGTGGGGCATGCCTTAGTATATGTCAGAACATTGACTTAGCATGTATTAAAACTATTGCAGAAAGTCACGCCACTGACAAGAGAACCAATTACCTTATACAAATGCAGTGTGAATACGTACTAATCATGCATTGAATATTGTTTATGAGCAGTGACACTCTGATTTAAATATGTAGAGTATAGTTATGGAAATGTAATCTTTATTTATGCTATAAAATCACTAGTGTTTTTTCCTAACCTATAGCCTATTCCCTAAAATTTGTTAAAAATAACAATGAATTAACAAAAAATATAACTTAACTTAATTATAAGTAAATCTTGTTTAAAAGCATTAAAAAGTTAATAAGGTGTTAATTTTCACATGTGACATACAGAATAGAAATTTTGTCCATTTTGAGGTCTGCAAAAATCAAGGGTTTACTGTACTTAGAATAATATAAGGTCAAGTATACAAATCTGTATCAGGTCAAAAAGTGATTTTCTTTGGGTCTGGTTAAGAACTCTGAATAGGTATAAGTAATGACTTTTTCAAGATATTTAAACATTAAAAAAATTAGGCTAATAAGAAAGGAATGTTGAAAAAAAAAATAATAGAAAGGAATGTTATACCCTGGCTAGGCAGCTCAGTTGCTAAAGAGTGTCATCCTAATATGCCAAGGTTATGGGTTCAATCCTCAGTCAGGGTACATGAAAGAATCAACCAATGAATACATAAATAACTGGAACAAACCAATGTTTCTCTCTCTCTCTCAAATCAACTAATAATTTCTTTTTTTTTTTAAAAAGGAATGTTATGTCTAGATATAGGATAAATTCCAAACTATGGGAGTAGAAAACATAATTTGTTCAATTTTATGTGAAAATAAGCTTACAGTGTTTTATGTATAATGTTTTCAGGAGTATTACCTTAATTTTCCTTTTAATCTTCTTTTCTGCCTCTGCTTTCATCTCTGTGGTCACCATGGGGACGACTCTTTTTCCACTTGGGGAAGGCAAAACTTCAGCCATTTGTGTTTTTTTCCCTTTTCCTTTCCCCCCTTTCCCAGGAAGTCCTACTTGTTCATCTTGTTTTTCCTTGGCTTCAACAGCCTAAAGAGGGGATAGAAGAAAGCAAGTTTATAAGCTAAAAAAGGCATTATAACATCTTTATTACTTTATAAGGATAGCATAAAAGGTAGCAATTAAATGGGTTTCAACTAGTTATATCTTAAAATAAATTTGTGACAACCTGTTCCATAGCTAAGGATACCACTACAACATGAAAATATAAATAATTAAGACACACTTTAAACAGTGTGGGTATAGAAGACTGGGTTCGACTCTGAATTTTACCACTGAAATTTTCTGAGGATAAAAAGAGCAAAGTACGTTAGGGATAAAATTTGTAAACTGAAATAAAAAATAAGGATGTAATTCTAGTCATGTATACTTATCCAATCAACTGATTATAAGCTGCATATCATACTGAATGCAATAATATAAATTTCCATGTTAATCCTTTTAACTTCATTTATGAAATGCTTTTTCTTTATGTCAAAATGTAGGAAAACCGAATAGTGAAATTAACAAGATCTTCGAAACTACTAGCTAGCCCTGAAGATAAACTGTTTCTGTCCTTTTAGGATGATTTGGAGGACTGGGTTGGGTTGGTCTTCTTTCACATTAAAAAAAAAAAATTTTTTTTATAATATATTTTTATTGACTTTTTACAGAGAGGAAAGGAGAGAGATAGAGAGCTAGAAACGTCGATGAGAGAGAAACATCGACCAGCTGCCTCCTGCACACCCCCTACTGGGGTTGTGCCCGCAACCAAGGTACATGCCCTTGACCGGAATCGAACCCGGGACCTTTCAGTCCGTAGACCAACGCTCTACCTCTGAGCCAAACCGGTTTCAGCCACATTTAAATTCTTATCTTCTTAGTCCCATTAGGTCAAAAATCAACTCTTGCCCTCCTTTCCTTTTCCTCTTTGTCCAGAAACTTCCAGATTAGTGTGTCCCCTGCATCATTTACTTTATTCTATTGAGTTTAAAACAGTTTGTTCTTTTATGTGTTATCTTAGAATATTTCATTTTTTACCTCCATATTCTTTCTACTGCTAATTGTGAAATTTCTTGATAAAGAGGTATATTGATAGAATCTATTGTTTCATTAGTAAAAATTTTAAAATAGACATTATAAGCTACACACCTCCAGCTCTTCAATAAAAGCAGCCAAGTCTTCTTTCCACAAATCTGATGGACTCTTTCTCTTTAATGTTTCCAGCTCTTGTTCCTTCATAAGATAGTCAGCAAATTAAGAGTTAATTTATATGCATAAACAACATTTTCATGAAGCACATGCTACTTTCAAGGTTAAAACATAACTAAGCAAAATGTACCATCCATCAACTCACTTTTTCATTTCTTTGTTTACACAGTTCATCTTTCTTTTCTTTAGTTAGGTACCACAGAGGCATATCAAGAAGGTAGTTGAAAGTTGGTCCAGTTGTAGAGTCACTTTTCTCAGTTTCCTTTTCATTGTCACTCTCTTCATTTTCTTCTTCTTCTGTAACCTACAGGAAGAATTAAAATGTAGTTTTAATAGGAAATGTGAAACATAAACACTAGATTATACAGCCTTAATAATATATAAAAATGTTAACCAAGAAATTACCTTTTGCTGGGCTTCTTTCCAAGCCTTCACAGGATCCGAATCATATCCCCTCTGAATCAAAACTTTAATTAATTCTTTTTTGGGCTTATTTTCTATTTACAAAAATAGAAACAGAGGTAACAGTTGGTTTTGAGTAATATTTTAGGAAAGTAATAAGATCTTACCATACTAATTCAGAAAGATTAGAACTGGAAACTAGTAAACTATTTTTATTTTGAATAGTTGAAAATCTCCATGTAATATGATTCCCCTACTACTTAATTCTAATAGTTTACTGTTGACTGGAAGCCTTATCAATAACGTCTACAGTCGGTTAACACATATTTTCTGTGTTATATGTATTGTATACTGTATTCTTACAATAAAGCTAGAGAAGAGAAAATATTAAGAAAATCACAAGATTCATCTTTTTTTTTTTTTTTTAAACTGTCACAAACCTTCCAGAATTTTCCAAAATATTAAAAAAATTAGTGTACCCACACAGTTCAAATTTGCGTGGATCACCCTGGCCAGGTGGCTCAGTTGGTTTGAGCATCATCTTGTACACCAAAAAGGTTGTGGGTTTGATTCCCGGTCAGGTGTGTATAGGAGGCAACCTAAGAATAATATTTCCCTCCCAAATTAATGTTTTTTTCCTCTCTCCCCCTCCTCCTCTAGCTCTAAAAAATCAATAAAAATGTATCCTTGGGTAAGGGTTAAAAAAAACAAACAAAAAAAAACCACCAAAAAAAATCCCATGTTGTTCAAGGGTCAGCTACAGTCAAGTATTCTCCTTAAAACCAGTGATTTTAAACCTTTTTCATTTCATGGCACACATAAACTAATTACTAAAATTCTACTGTACATAAATTTTTTTTTTGCTGACCTAACAAAAAAAATGGGTGTAATGTTAATTCACACTGGACAGCTATTGTGTTGGCTGCTGTCATTTTTTAATTTGACAATCTAAGGAAAAGCGGTCAGTTCCCCTGACTAAATTGTCAGGTATTGCATTTTTATTTTTTTAATATATTTTATTGATTTTTTACAGAAAGGGAGAGAGATAGAGAGCTAGAAACGTCGATGAGAGAGAAACATCGACCAGCTGCCTCTTGCACACCCCCTACTGGGGATGTGCCCGCAACCAATGTACATGCCCTTGACCGGAATCGAACCCGGGACCTTTCAGTCCACAGACTGACGCTCTACCGTTGAGCCAAACCGGTTTCGGCAGGTATTGCATTTTTAAAAATTCTTGCAGCACACCAGTTAAAATCACTGCCCTAAAATACTGAAAAATGTAAATTGCCACAAGAGGGCAGTCAAATCATATGAGATTATGATCTAATCATAACTCTTAACAAAAGATAATCCAAATATTTATTTTTGTTTTATGGACCCTGATTTTTAAAAATTTCAATATTTGATCAGGCAAGTTTTTAGTGCCACCATCCAAATGTTGATATTTCCATGTTGCATTTGTTCCCCTTTTCTTACAAAAAAAAATTAAAAAAAAAAAAATATATATTTTTTAAGTTTACTGATTTGAGAAACATTGATCTGTGCTCCACCTATCCATGCATTCATTTGTTGATTCTTGTATGTGCCTTGACTGGAGCTCAAACCTGCCACTGTGGCATATCAAGATGACACTAACCATCTGAGCTACCTAGCCAGGGCTCATTCCCCTTTCCTATAAAACCTCTCTTCCAATGTTTACAGTAGTCAATATAACCTTTGCTTTTTGTTTTTCTTTGAGTCATGTCTAATATTACTTATTTTAGCCTTGAAATAATAGCTGTGAAATTAAGGGGCTGATATACTAGTATTATTTTTTAAAATATTCATGAAATCAAAGATGTAACAAATTAAATATTTTTGTGTAACAGCAAAAAAATTTCCTGTAATCACTAGGAACTCGTGTTGTCATGTTTTGGGGGATTTGCTACTATAACCTAGTAGCAGGAGTTAGTTGCTCAGCTTTCCTAGTTAACCGTGGTCAGAACTAAGTTATACACCCCTCCTCCCGCTTTTTTGTGTGTGTGTGTGTGTGCGTGTGTGCGTGTGTGAGGTATTACGAATTTATTTGATCATCCAAACACCAGTTGGCTTAACCTGGATGGCTCCAACCCACCTTCCTTTTATTTCAAGCTTCTTGGTCAATGAAACCCCTAAATCCCCACCTCAAAAAAAAAAAATTTTTTTTTAATTGAGAAAGGAATGGAGAGAACTGATCCATTGCCTCCTGCATGTGCCCGACCAGGGGTGGACCCTGCAGCCTGGGTATGTGCCCCAAACCTGCCGCCTTTTGCTGTAGGGGATGCTCCAACTGAGCCACACCAGCCAGAGCTAGAATGTCTGTAAAAAATCCCTAAGACATGACCTTTCAGGCGTAAGTACACAATTTACTTATAATAGAAGCCATTTATAATCTTACTTCAAAAGCCCTTTATCCTGTACTAGAGGCCCGATGCATGACATATGTGCAAGAGTAGGACTTTCTCCCCCCAGCTTCTGGCACCAGCTTCCCTCACAGCCCCGGCTTTGTCCAGATCATCTGGAAAGACATCTGGTCGAATTAGCATATTACTCTTTTATTTTTATAGATAATTACAGATAAAAGCCTAATATGCAAATTAACCAAATAGCAGAAAAAATGGTTGCTATGATGTACACTGATCACCAGGGGGCAGATGCTCAACACAGGAGCTGCCCCTTGGTGGTCAGTGCATTCCCAGAGGGGAAGCACTGCTCAGCCAGAAGCCAGGCTCACAGCTGGCGAGTGCAGTGGCGGGAGCCTCCTACCTCCATGGCAGCGCTAAGAGCAGCGAGTAGGCAGGCAGTAAGAAGCGAGGGGTCCCAGACTGCAAGAGGGATGTCTGACTGCTGGGCTGAGGAACCCTCCCCTGCCCCCAAGTGCATGAATTTCATGCACCGGGCCTCTAGTTTCCTTTAAGACTTTTCTCTTGATCAATTAGTTTATATAGGAACCTCTTCTAGCTCTTTTCTGTCTAAATTGTCAACTAAATCTTGAATTCTCAACATGTTCAATCTAGTAAAAACTGTTTTTCAAACTATAAGATACCTAATTAAGTTATTTCAAAGAAATGCTCATTTAAGTAGCCAGCCAACTAAATGGATTCTGCGCTCCCTCCCTACCATTACTCTCTCCAAAAATGTTTAAAGGAAGTTTGGCACAACTGTAGTTTAGTTCAGACAGTTATTATCCCCAAAACATACCAATGATTATTTTGCCATCTATTTTCTCTAAGATAAAGCGGGCCTGATTGTTCAGTTTAGCAGATTCAGCGCCAAGCATTCCTAGAAGCCATTCTTTTCTTAATCCATAATACTTAAGCCTGAGTTCATAGAAGTCTCTTAGAATATCAAGCACTGTTTCATATTTCTTTAAACAGCCTACATGATCAAAAAGCACCTGGAAAAAAACACACAAGAGTAGAGTTAAGAATAGCTAAATTGACTATTTAATGATTTTAGAGAAATGACTTTATTCTTTCAAAATATAAATGTAGACTATGATTTCCTTTTAAAATTGGAATTATCTTCTTAGTATAAATTGTAAACATATGGATCTATCTCATAAGACATACCATAGAGTTGCATGTAAGACTAGTTTGGAGTTTGAAGACTTTGTGTAGTCCAACTCTCTCAGCCTCAGCCAGTTTTTCTTCAGTCATCTTCACAACAAACTTCACAGTGGTATCTGTATGGTATTCCCTATAATCTGTTATGAGAGGTGGCGTCTTCTCAGTGCCATTCAGCATGGGTTCTAGCACCTGTTCTTTGTATGTCTAAAGAAATAATCCTTTTGTAAGTATCTGAACACCAGCTCCTAAATATAGTTAACAAGCATTACAAAAAGCGTTTAGCTGATCTCTCTCTCTCACACACACACACACACACACACACACACACACACACACACACGACTCCCCCATTACTTACCTGGGTCCATGTTCTGATGGGAAGCTCTGAGATTTCAATGGTTGTGGAATTAAGAATAGCCACTTCACCACAAATCACATATTGATTTGGAGCCAGCTCTTCAATAGTACCCTTGAAGTTCTTATAACTTGGAAGCTAAATTGGTATTTTAAAAAAGAATGTTTTCTAAATGTGACACTAAAAACACAGATCACAATACCATAAGACAATAAATCTAACATTTCAGTGTGAAATTGTATACTTATAGCCTCTTTAATCATATAGTCTACTGAATTGAAACCAGAGGAAAATGAACATTCCTAATAAACACAAAATAGTTACCATTGGCAAAGGTTCTTCTCCATCCATCAGACGCCTGATGTTATTCACAACTTCACGAATATCAAAGTTGGGGATTTTGCAGGACCACCCAGTACCAATTCCTTCAGCACCATTTATCAGCACCATGGGTATAATGGGAATATACCATTCAGGCTCCACACGTTGGTTGTCATCATATAAGAACTTTAATGTGTTATCATCTTTTGGTGGAAATAACAACCGAGCCAAAGGACTAAAGGAAACAATCAAAGAATGTTATTTTACAAAATTGCTGGCTTTGGTATTTAACTTTAATGAAAAGGACATATGCTACCTCATATCAATACATGGCTTTACCTCAGCTTTACTTGCTAATGTTCGCTTAACATATTTATTGAGCACTTTCATTGTGCCGGCACTACAGACTTAATTTTCAGCTTCCAAGGAGCTCACATTCTAATATAGGAGCTAGATAATGAACTTAGATTTTGTAGGGGGTGCAATAAATGCTAAGAAGAAAAATAAAGTAGGTAAGAGTGATTGAAGGGGTGCAAGAAATGGTAGGTACTCTGACAAGATAATGTTTGAGAAGAAAAGAAATCAAGAGAATCAGCCCGGAAGTTATCTGCAGAAAGAGTATTGCCAGCACAGTGGACCAGTAAAGTAAAAGGCCCTGAAGAGGGAGTATGCCTGGCATGTATAGACAAAGAGGCTAGGTGTTTTCATGCAGAGAGAATATGAAATGGAATAAAAAATATGGGGAGTGGACTTCAACTGTGGTATTTAGGAAGAATCAAGCCCTTTATTCTGATGCAAATTCTGCAGCAAGGTCTCTCAAACTTGACACTAAGGCATTTTGGGTTAGATAATTCTTTGTTGGGGGAGGGCTGTCCTATGCATTGGAGGTGTGTAGTAGTACTCCTAACTGCTGCCCTCTAGTTGCCAGTGGCATGGCTCTCCTAGTTATGACAATCAAAAATTGCTACATGTCTGGATAAAAGAAAATATAAGAAATGTATGTAAAAGCATTTGTAGTTTCACAAGGAAATAATACTCCTAAAGGATACAAAGGCTATGGCTATCAAACAAATAAAATTTTGTCTTTCTGCTCATTGCAAAAAGTAGCATAATTAAGCTTTAATCATTAGATTAAAAAATTAATATTCTAAGCATCTGCATCAAAAGTACATTTTCTGATTGAATTTTTATATTATTTTGTCTACTAAATCTCATATTACTTCAAAATTGAAAATGGCAATTCACTAGAAATTGAAAGCATTACCCACCTGAGCATTGTGAAGATGTATCGAGGACTAGCAGAATCCTTGCCACCATGCAGCCTGGTGCCAAACTGACCAATGGGCTGCAGGAGGTTCAGATTATTGCTACCCACAAAATTCTGAGCCAAATTGATAATGGTCATCATTAGTGACATCTGGGGAAGGAAAGATTTGTTAATCTGACCTGTAGAGTTTTAATAATATTGTACATACCCATTATTATGACTAAGCCTTACTATAATACAATCCTATAAGGGTTTGAGATATAGATGTTTACTGATTTTTCACAGATAAGTACATGGCAGATGTAGTGCTTTAACCCAAGACTAGGGCTCCAAGTTCAGGGCTCTTGCCTTCCAATAATTTTAATCAAGAAAGGCACAGCTCCTTTCTTCATTCAGAGTAGAATAAAAAAACTACTTAAGTTACAATATTTCACTCATTTCTACTCTAGCATGTATAACTTTATTCTATAGTTGTGTATTGTCCCTCTTGATTATACTGTGATTGTACCTTGAAGTAAGATACATATTTGACTTATCTTTTGTACCTGGTGCATGGTAAGCATTTAACAAATCACAAACATTTACTAGGTCCCCAATATATATATATATATATATATATATATATATATATATATATATATATATATATATATATATATATATATATATATATATATATATATTTATTTATTTATTTTTTTTTATTTTTTTTATTTATTTATTATTTTTTTTTAAATAATAGTTTTATTGATTTTTAGGGAGAGGAAACATCAACGTGAGAGCATAACTTCAATCAGCTGCCTCCTGCATGCCCCCTACTGGGGATGGAGTCCTCTCAATGCACGAGACAATGCCCAACCAACTGAGCCATAATGGCCAGGGCTACCACTATATTTTTTAAAGCAACAAGCAAGACAACCTTTACATTTAAAGTTTAGAAACTTATAGGCAATCTAGTTCTTTAAAAAAACAATTCAATCACAAAATAAAAATATATGTTTGTATAAAGTCAAACAATTCAGATATCTATAATAAATTGGAATATCGCTCTTTTTAACTTCCAGGGCTAATAACAGTCAATAACTTTGAACATATTGTTCTAGACAATTTGCTTTAAGTATTACTCTGCCCCTTTTCCCCCAGCTGACAATAGGACATGGACATTCTTCAATGTTAGTAAACACAGCTTTACTTGTTATATCAATGATGCTATGCATAGATGTGTCACAGTTTATAACAATTTCCCAATCACTGGACACTTTTGATGTCTAAATTTAACATCAAAGTTATAATAAACATCTTTGAACACAGATCCTTGCAGACTTATGAATATCCTTACAGGAATATTTTCAGAAATAGATTTGTTAGGCCAAAGGGTAAGAACGTATCTACCTTATTTCCCTGAAAATAAGACAGTGTCTTATATTAATTTTTTCTCCCAAAGTTGCACTAGGTCTTATTTTCAGGGGATGTCTTATCTTTCCATGCACTAGGTCTTATTTTCGGGGAGACACGGTAGTTTGGCAGATTTCACCAAATTATTCTCTACTACAAATGTACCAGGCTTATATTTTCACTAAGTGTTTGGAGAATAATTTTGCAGATATTTCTACTATAATGCTTTCTGGAAACATAGATTGTGTGTTTACCTCACCATGATGATAAGAGGACATCTCAGCCACTGAACCAGCTAACTGGGCAACCTTCACCTCTCGCTTGTCATTCCGTTTGAAACACGTAAACAAAACCTTTCTTTGACCTGGTTTCAAACCTTCAAAATGAAAGAAGTGCAAATATTAGTATCCTCAATTTAACCATTTCTGGGCATTGATTTTTATGTTATGACAAAAACAGACTAAATAATTGGAACTCACCATCCACCATAGATGGGATAGATCTCTCGTTATCAGAATTTGAGAACAGGATAAGTTCCTTGTTTATGAAGTCATTGTACGTCAGATATGTGGTAGTTTGCCCATACAAGTAATCCTGAGGGACCAAAGAGAATATTACATGATCTAGTTTAAAACAATGAAACAAAGAAACCTCTCAGTATTTTTAAGATAGTTATTAAGCCCCTTAAAAATTTAGTATTGCCCTCGCTGGTTTGGTTCAGTGGATAGAGCATTGGCCTGTGGACTGAAGGGTCCATGGTTTGATTCCAATAAAGGGCACATGCTGGGTTGCGGGCTCTATCCTCAGTAGGGTAGATGATTCTCTTTCATCTTTGATATTTCTATCTCTCCCTTCCTCTGAAATCAATAAAAATATATTTTAAAAATTCAGAAGTATTTAAAAAAATTTTCAGAAGTATTTTGTTTTTTAAATATATTTTTATTGATTTTTGAGAGAGAGAAGTAAAAACATTGATTGGTTGCCTCCCATACACACTGACAAGGGATCAAACCCACAATTGTATGTGCCCTGACTGGGCATAGAACCAGTGACCTTTTGATGCACAGGATGACACACCCAACCAACTGAGCCACACCAGGCAGGGCAGAAGTAATTTTGCTTTAAAGATAAAGCAAATTTAATTACTGCACAATTAGAAAAAAAGTGCACTGTCTTTGTAATTTCTTTTATGCCCAAGACATTTATGTAGCATTCTAAATAAGAATACTTAAATAACTATTGATTACTACACTTTTTACTAAAATAGCTACTCAGTAACTTAAATTTGTTATATCAATCCTAAAAGTTCAGTAAATAGTACATTTTGTGGAATATATTTAAAATTTTTACCTCAGGAAGGCCAAGTAGCTTCCGTTGTCTTCTGTCCTCCATGAAATGAGTTAACCATTCCTTTCGATCATCTGTCTGTTTTTTGCTAAAGGCCTATAAATTAGCAGATGAAAAAGATGTCACTGTACTAATAGATTCCAAAATATTTCTTGTATGAAAACAAAATCAACAAAAACTCAGTTTTCTAAAATATCTGGTTCCTTTCTCTGGGATATGCTTTATAAAAACATTCTATTATACAAAAATATCTCAACTGACTAGCTAATGCAGTGATTTATAAAATGAGAGTGTATGTATGAAATACAATTCAAACTCACCAAGCTGATTGCAGCATCATCTTCAGGACCAGAATATTTGAATTGGATACGATGTCTTTTCATATCTGCAAAGTATTCTTTAGCTTCTTTTGATGTGCTGGTGCCCAAACCTACATAACCAAGAATACCACGTTATTCCATATAATCTTTTATAGAATGGTATATTACAAAATGAGAATTCTTTATGAGTTTCATTACAAACCTTTGTAATACTTGACTTTCCATTTTTTATGATTTGGTGTGGAATTCTTCCATTCTTCAAATTCAGGAAGACTATAGAAAGATATTTCTTGCTTGTTTTTAGACACCTGTGGTAAAGTACACATTGCTGAGGCTTTGCACTGTGCTGCTACTCCTACATACCACCATACTTCACTGGGGTTATGTGTGTATGTAGGCTTGAGAAGTAGGGCCTTAAAATATCCTTTATGTATCTTAGAAGTTAATATACCTTTACAATGGGAGTGATAAATTCCTCCAGAAAACGATGTCGCAGAAGAGAGGGCCAGTTGTGATGGATAAAATTAATCAGCAAGCCTTTGATATGGGAACCATCTTGGTCCTAGAAATATTTGGAAGACCAAACATAGAAGAACTGTTTAGGAAAATTATGAGTGACATATTGAGTAATTTCTCAATTTTTTTCTCCTATGGGGATTAATAAAAAAGGCAATTAAATATTCAAAGACTATTGAAATCCAGACTATTAACTTGTATATGTAGTTGTACATATGACATAAACATAATACTATATCTGCTTAGATATTGATTAGATAATGACCAGACCTCCAAGTTAATTTCCTTTCACTGCAGGAAAGCAATGCAACAATAAGGCATGTTTAATTTACTGTAATAATCTATAGTGTCTGAAAAGCAAATCTGACCTGATCTGTCATAATCATTATCTTCCCATAACGAAGAGTCTTCAGTGAATCTTCATCTTCATAGTTTTTCTTGTACTGAAGACCCACAATCTTTATGATGTTATTAATTTCGGCATTTTCCATTATCTGAAATGGACATATATTGTTTATAAATATGAAAAGAACAAAGAAATACAATAGTGTATGTTGCCTGGATTTTCTTGAACCCTGGTATTTTAAGTTATTATTAGCTTAATAGAGGCCTGGTGCACAAAATTCATGCAGTTGGCGGGGGTGTGTGTGTGTGTTTCCCTTGCCCCAGCCTGTGCCCTTTAGCAGTCTGGGAGCCCTCGGGGATAGTGTACCATCGGCTTAGACTTGCTCCTATTGTGGAGGCAGGAGAGGCTCTTGCCACTACTGCTGCACTCACCAGCCAAGAACCTGACTTCTGGCTGAGTGGCACTAACCCTGTGGGAGCACACTGACCACTAGGGGGCAGTTCCCGGACTGACCACTCCCCCCACCCCCTTGGTCAGTGAACATTACAGCAACCAGTTGTTCCACAGTTTGGTTGATTTGCATATTAGTCTTTTATTATATAGGATACTTTAATAATCAGAAAGATCCAATTAAGACATGGTTATAGCCCGGGCCAGGTGGCTCAGTTGTTTGGAGCATTGAACACAAAAAGGTTATGGTTCAATTTCTGGCCAGGGAACACACATAGGTTGTAGGTTCTGTGTATTCAGTTTCTTAAAATAACAAAAACTATCTAAGACACATTTTAAAATGCCCAATGAGAGAATGAAACAAGCACCAAGTCCTGCATTATAAAACTATAGCGATTCTGAAGATAGTTTTATATTCTACCTGTTTATGAGAAGCTTCTCGAACATTGAGTATTTTTCCTCTAAGAGGGAAAACCCCGTACTTGTCTCTTCCAACCACACCTAGGCCTGAAACAGCCAAGGTTTTAGCTGAGTCTCCCTCAGTCAGAATAAGTGTGCAGTCAGAAGAGTTTCGGCTCCCTAAAATAAAAATACACAAATTATTGGCACATTTAGTTCAACCTCAAATATTAACTCAGACATGTCGTTAACAGCTTTGTGATAAAACTCAAGTAATTTATAGTTTATAACAAGGGGCTTAGGAGTAAAATGGAGCTAATAATCTATAATAATAAAAGCATAATATGCTAATTAGACCGGATGTCCTTCTGGACAACCTTCTAGACAAAGCCAGGGCTGCAAAGGAAGCCTGGGTCCTGGGTACAAGAAGGAAGCCGGTGCTGGCAGCCGAGGGAAGGAAGGCCTACTCCTGCATGAATTTCGTGTATCAGGCCTCAAGTTAGATATATATTTTAGCTAAAGTTCATAGTAAATAGAAGTCTTAGTTTCTTAGGCTAATTTTTCATTTTATACTGCTGTTAAACATTTATTTGATCATATTATATGAAAAATATTGTTAACAATGGGGTTTATTACATGCTACTCCAAAATATGGTATCTTTGCATATATTTTAAGCTAAAAGAATTTTAGAAAATGGTAGAAGGAAGATTTCTCTGACTTCATCCCTCTTGAAGCAGGTCATAAGACTCATTGTGAGAGGGGCCCTCCATATATCCAGAGGAAAGGAGCATTCTTAACTTTAAGACTGAGGGACACTGAGAAGAATCTTAGTAAATAGGCCTCATTGAGCTTCCCCAAGTTTATTGCACTTAGCTCATACTCTTTACTTTTCTTATCTTTCCATGACTTTCCTCTCTTCATTAAACCTGGCATAAAAATACCCAGGTTTGCCAAGACCGGTTTAGCTCAATGGATAGAGCGTCGGCTTGTGGACTGAAAGGTCCCGGGTTCGATTCCCGTCAAAGGCATGTACCTTGGTTGCGGGCATATCCCCAGTAGGGGGTGTGCAAGAGGCAGCTGATCGATGTCTATCTCTCATCGATGTTTCTAACTCTCTATCTCTCTCCCTTCTTCTCTGTACAAAATCAATAAAATATATTTAAAAAACAAACAAAAACAAACAAAAACAAAAAAAAAACCCAGGTTTAATTATTTCATTGGGGCTTCATTTCCTCCTGTGTCATGTAAAGTTTACATTAAATTCATCTGTACAATTTCCTCATGTTTGTCTTCATTAGTATAATTTTCAGACCAAGCCAGGGACCTATGAGAGTCAAAGTAAACTTTTCCCTTTCTTATAGATCAATATAGAACTTTCTTGTTCTATATCCCAAAACAATCATCTCGACATTATTTTAACTGGAAATGACCTAAATGTTTAATAAAAGGGAATCTACTGATTTTTTAAGAGTAAAAATATTCTCTTTATATTAATTGCCAAGGAAAAAATACTCATGTTTTGCTATTAATGAATAAAACAAATAACTATAAGATTTAAAATTTGGAAACATGAAATGTGTACCTGCATCATTGGCATCATCAAGTTTGGGAATTCCCTTGATTCTGTTATGTTTTACAGCTGAACACTTCTTGTTTAACTGGACTTGAGCCTTAAACTTCACCCAGTTTAGAATGCTTTCTACAATACCACAGCCAATTGCCTAAAAACAAGAAGATTCGTGTTAAGGAAGATTTCAGTCAGAAATGTAGAATATAAATAAGCTCCCATAAAAATAATTTAAAGATTGAAAAGAGCCCTCACTGGTTTTGCTCAGTGGATATATAGTGGAGTGAAGGGTCCTAGGTTTGATTCCCATCAAGGGCACTTGTCCCTATTGTGGGCTCCATCCCCAGTAGGGGGCGAGCAGAAGGCAGCCGATCAATGATTCTCTCATCATTGATATTTCTATCTCTCTCCCTTCTTCTCTGAAATCAATTAAAAAAAAAAGTATATTTAAAAAAAAAAAAAATATATATATATATATATTGAAGAGATAGAAATACGATCTCTGGATAGAGGGTGGCACGTCTTCCTGTCTCAGTTTATCACTACCGAGGAAGCTGGTTCCATTGGGTTCATCCATTCAATAAATACTTTTTTTTTTTTTTTTTTTTTTTTTTTTTTTTAAATATATTTTTTATTGATTTTATTCAGAGAGGAAAGGAGAGAGATAGAGAGTTAGAAACATCGATGAGAGAGAGTCATCGATCAGCTGCCTCTTGCACACCCCCTACTGGGGATATGCCCGCAACCAAGGTACATGCCCTTGACCGGAATCGAACCCGGGACCCTTCAGTCCCCAAGCCGATGCTCTATCCATTGAGCCAAACCGGTCCCGGCCCATTCAATAAATACTTATCGACTACACACTTATATTGTGCCAGAGACTGAACTACATGTTGAAAATCTAGCAGTTAAAAAAATTAAGAGATGGTCCCTTTCTTCATGGAGTTTAATATACAACAAAGACAACACAGATATAAAATGAGAAATCACAAGTATCGATATAATGAATGTTATGGATGAAAGAAAAAAATGTGCTGCATATAATAGTGTATGTCAGTGTTATACTGGAACAAACTTAGTAGCGGAGAAGTGTAGAAAGTAAAGGATTTTCTGAGGAAATGACACTGAAGACCTAAAGTAGTTAACCAGATTTAAAGCATTTCAAGGAGAGAGATAAGCATGTGAAAAGTTATGAAAAGGAAAAGAGTACTTTGCTTTGAAGTAATTTAAAGCCGTAGGGAAAAGTGCCCTGAGATGAGGCTAGAGATGGTCCTGCAGACCAAATTAAGCAATTCAAAGAATGAAAATCACTCAAAGACTTCCAAAAGAGAGTGAAGACAAAATGTGAGCTTGAACATAAAAAGATTACTCAAGAGCATTACAAAGAAATGACTGAAATTGTATGAATGTTAAGAACCTATTAAGAAAAGAGATAATAGAAGGCTACTGAAATATCTAAGAGATGATCCTTTTTTATTACCGTATTTTTCGGACCATAAGATGCTCCGGACCATAAGACGCACCAGTTTTTAGAGAAGGGAAATGAAGAAAAAAAGATTCTGAAACAAATAGTGTCCTAAAATATTTTATGTGCATTAAAACCCAACATCACAGTCATAAACACATGTAATCAACCCTGTAAAGTAAACAGCAGCATTTAGAACCATTTTAGAGCCGGGCAAGTAAAAAAACTTTTTTTTTAAAGTATTGATATATGTGTAGGCTATATTTGGACCATAAGACGCAGGGACTTTTCCCCTCCACTTCTGGGGGAAAAAAAGTGCGTCTTATGGTCCGAAAAATACGGTACTCCTTACCTGAGGATATTTTTTCCCACTGCTTTTTCAGAGAGAGAAGGAAAGTGGGAAGGGGGTAGAGATTATAGGGGTATGGAATAAAAGGGGTAGAAGAGGGGGGGGGGGGGAGAGAAACATTGACTGGTTGCCCTGTACACAGCTCCAACAATGGACGAGGAGTAAACCTGTGAGGTATATGCCCTTGGCTGGGAATTGAATCCACAACCCTTCATTGCATGGCCAATGCTCCAACCACTCAGCAACACAGGCCAGGGCCAAGAGATAATTTTTATGGATTAGAGAGAGGGGATAAAGAGAAGGCTCCCAGCTTTCTTATGCAACCTAGTGGTTGGTTGGTGCCTTTTTACAAAGATAGGAAATAGGCTTGCTTTTTGTGGTGGGGGCTTCCTTATACAGAGATCAACTGAATATAGAGAGAAGGAACTGATTTTTGAATGTGTGATTGAGAGCAACTTTAGGCATTCAATGTTTGGAAAGCAGATGGGCTGAATTCAGAAGTGATCTAAACTGATTGTGATATGAAATGCTATCTGTCTGTCTGTCTATCTATCTATCTATCTATCTATCTATCAATCATCTGCAGAGCTGAAAAAGAGTAATGGAAAATAAAGCAAGGTATTTCTATTATTTTATTTTCCTCTATGTACTCACAGCTTTGATGAATTTTTCACTTAATTGGCATGTTGATCCAAAACTCTTGGCTTGTAAAGTCATGTTTTCTTTCGTCTGAGAGTCAAAGGTTGGGTTTTCAATTAAGGCATTCACAAAAATCCACATGTGATTTTTCACCTGCAGTAAAAGTTGACATTAAATCACTAAAAACATACTCATATTTTACAGCCTGTCTTTTTTTTCCTTGCATTTGGAAAAAAGAAAACTGCTAAAATACAATACCTGATGTGCTTTTACTGCAACACCGCCCTTGTTCTTCTTCTTCACAACATCAACAAGTTTAGTCACAATCTGATCAGTTACATAATCAACATGTCTGCCACCCTAATGAGGAAAAATAATTGACTGTAAAGCTCAATATCCTCAAAATTACAATAATCAAGCACAAAAGTCTAATTTAGCTTACTGTATACCAAGGTGGCCAAATATCCAAGTTCATTTTATACATATTAAAAAATAACACCTATGAAAATATAAATAATTAATAATTCAAGAATAAAATTACCTTGGAAGTAGCAATGCTGTTGACAAAGCTAATTTGTTGAAAGCCTTTTTCACTCATTGTTAAACATACTTCCCACCTGTGGTTTACTTGTTCATGAATAACTTTCAATGCATTGCCAGTTTCATCTACCTTATCCTTCAAATACATATCCACATAGCTACGGAATCCTTTTACCTGTATAGGAATTAAAATGGTACCAAAAAAAATTAGACTGAAGAATAGACTAAGATTTTTTCAAAACTAATGAAATGGTTATTGAATGAAAACCAATTTTGCCTTTGACAACGATCACACATTTCCTCGTGTGCAGAAAACACTTACTGGCAGCTTATTTCCATTGAGAAAGACTTTGACATCTTTAGTGCACCCAGCAATATCATATGCTCTTCTAAACATTAGTGCAACAATGTCTTTGTCTAGGCTTTGCATTTTAAATTTAGGCAGATCAGGCTGGAAGGTAATACATGTATAATCTTCTCCATTAAAGGGCTTGAGTTCCATCTCACCGGCTCTCCCCATGTTATCCATCCATGTCTATAAAAGTAAATAGGAAAGATAAAAAATTTGAGTGACCTTACAAATAAACTAGAACTAAATAACACAAATTGCTATAGTACAATATACAACTATTTACTTGCCTGTTTGAACTTTTTTTTGTATTCTCTACTGGCCGTTTCCACAGTAAATTTGGTACTGAATATGTTACACAATTTGGCTCCATAGCCATTTCGACCACCTGGGCAAATAAATAAATACTATTTGTTATCTGATGAACAGGTTCATTTCTTTTTTTAAAAATATATTTTATTGATTTTTTACCGAGAGGAAGAGAGAGGGATAGAGAGTTAGAAACATCGATGAGAGAGAGCCACCAATCAGCTGCCTCTTGCATACCCCTTACTGGGGATGTGCCGGCAACCAAGGTACATGCCCTTGACTAGAATCGAACCTGGGACCTTTCAGTCCGCAGGCCGACGCTCTATCCACTGAGCCAAACCGATCTCGGAGTAGGTTCATCTCTTCATCACTGGTAAAGTGATGCAATTATAAAGATTTTAAAACTTTATGCCACAGATAGTCATTTAAGTTTTTTTGTTTTTGTTTTGCTTTTTAGCAACAATATGTTTGTTTTTCCCCTCAGCATCCTACCTGTTACTTTCTTTTCATCATCATCATAGTTACTAGAAGTTAAGAGCTGTCCAAAGATGAGAGCTGGGACATACATCTTCTCTACTTTGTGTTCAACAACAGGAATACCTTTTCCATCATTCCATATACTAATTAAATTGTTTTCCCTAAGAAAAAAAGATTTGAATTTGTTAAGCTAGTGCTTAAATATGTATTATATTTAAATATCTTTATTTCTAAAATTCAGTCTTAATTTCTTTATGGCTCTTGTACATATTTTTCTTCTGAAATTTAGCATGAACTCTCTTTCCCACCGTGCTTAATTCCTGATACTCCTGAAATAGGAGCTAAAAGGAAAATAAAAATTTAAATCTGTTCCAACACCTGAGCTGACACTGATAATGTTGAAAAAACATGAAATTTTAAAATGTTAGGATAGACAAAGGGAAATGACTTATGCTCAATGGAAAAATAACAAAACTTGGAAACTATTATTATATTAATTTTTTCTTTTAAAAAATTAAATTTATTGGGTGACATTGATTAATATGATCATATAGGTTTCAGGTATGAGTTTCTATGTTATAAGACCTGTCTATTGCACAATGTGCCCACCACCCAAAGTCAAATCTTTGTGTTTTTGTTTTTTTATACTGCTTTTAAGAGGATCATTGTACTATTTTAGCTCTTAGTTTTCCTATACAACAAATCTCATTGTAAAACAAATATGAAAGGGAAAAACATCAATTGTAAATTTCCCTGCTTGCCAATAAAATGCTAAGAATTTATTTGGACTTTGAGTAGGCTAATAAAAGGGTGAATCGCAGGCCAATGAGGCTTAATTGGTTGGAGCATCATCCCATACTGCAGAAGACAAAGGTTCAATTCCCGGTCAGGGCACATATCCAGGTTGCACTTCAATCCTGGGTGGAGGCAACCAATCAATGTTTTTACTCTCACATCCATGTTTCTCTCTCTCTAAAATCAATAAATATGTGTCCTTGAGTGAAGATAAAAATAAAAAAATGAAACAAGCATTCTGACCACCCACAAATGGACACCCAGCATTTATAATCAGAAATGTTAGATCTCTAGCACCACCTGCTGATTTATTATTTGAATAGCATTATGTGGAGGAAAAAATTCAAAAGCTCTAAACTGCAGAATACTTCAGGTAATTATTGGAGATGTTATGGAAGTATTTAGTGTCTTAAAGCATCAAAGTGTCTGTAATTGATATTTAAATTCAGAAAAAATATAGATGAAGCAAATATGGCAAAGTGTTGATAACTGTTGAATCTAGATAGTAGGTATCAGAGATTGTTAATTTTAGCACTCTGTACTGTTTTTCTTTTCTTCAAAATTTATTTTAAAAAGTTAACTTTATGCCCCATCTGGGTGGCTCAGTTGGTTGGGCAGCATCCTATACATCAAAAAGGTTGCAGAATACAGGCTCCCAGCCCACCATGGCGGGACCTCCCGTTCAGGGCATATGCCCCGGTTACAGGTTCCATTCCTGTCAGGGCATGTGCGGGAGGCAGTGGATCCATCTCTCTCTTTCTCTCTCTCCTCCTCCCCTTCCTCTCTAAAATCAGTAAAAACATTCTAGGTGAGGATTAATAAATAATAAATAAGTCAACTTTACTAAATCCCAAGAAAATGCAACTAACAGTAACAATGAACTATAAGAAACCAAAGACTAATAGCAAGAGACTTACGGGTCAATTGTGACTCTAATACAAGACATTTTTGGGTCCCTTTGTTTGTTGTCTGCAGCGTTGACTAAAAAAAATAAAAATAAAAAATACACATTTGTAAAAAAGTATTTTTTAAAAAATTCCTTAACTATAAGATATAGAAAGACAACATAAACTGATGAACAAAAACAGATCCAGAGACATAGAAGCATCGATCAGGCTGTTGAATCTCAGAAGGAAGGTGGGGGAAGATGGGGGTAAGGAAGAGAGATCAACCAAAGAACTTGTTTGCACACATATAAGCATAACCAATGGGCACAGGCAGCAGGGGGATGAGGGCATGAGTGGGAGGGAAATGGGGGGATAAGGACACATATGTAATACCTTAATCAATAAAGAAATTAAAAAGTATAGAAAGAAAAATCTCAAGCAAAAGAGTAGCACCAACAAGGTGTTAATTCAGCAATTTTCACTCATAGTACTGTTTCTAGGAAATAATTCAATGTCACTGCATCACTTCTCCCAACAACTGAAATGACAGCTCTGGCTAAGAGGGTTTGCTAGGAATGAAACTTCTTATAACGGATCTGACCAGATGATCTTTACATACGTGAATTTACTCACCTAGAATCTCATCAAAGATTTTGTACAAACCAGGAACAAAAGTGACTTCCCTATAGTTAATGCCAATATCTTCATCGTAAACCCACATTTGCTAGAAATAAGGCAAAGGGACACAGTTATTTTTACCCTATATTTATTCTGTCTCAACATCATGATTACTGTAAGGTCTTCTGGATTAAAAGATACACACACACACACACACACACACACACACACACACTAGTTTAGGCTAATTTCAGTGGACACTCAAAGCACGCGCATGTATAGAAAATTAACCAGGAAAAGCACACATTTTAACTACGTGGTCACTGCGTTTCAGGGGCTTGGTTGTACCTGGGTCACTAATTCCACAGAGCCAATGTAGGTGTCTGGACGGAGCAAAATATGTTCCAATTGCGTTTTCTTTTGATAGATTCTTTCAATAGACAGTCTTTTCTTAGCATCTTCATTTTTCTTTGTCTTGCTGATTTGCATATTCTCATTTATAGGCTAGCAATTTAAAAAAAAACGGTGAAGAAAAGGGAAGTTTAATTATAGGTTTATCAGAAACTATGACCATGTCTACCGTAACGTGCTTAAGCGCACTAACAAATCACAGTCTCCCGGTGGGCTTGGGTGGAGCTTACATCTTTTTGCACAGATTTAAGGTCACTGCGGCCGGGTTCCTAGGTGTCTGTCCATTTCTCACAGGTGAATTACCTCATTTCTAGGTGTCTGTCCGTTTTCACAGATGTGTTACCTCACTATGTGTATGTGACAGGGAACTATTCCCATGTTTTAAATATCATCAATGAAATACACCCACTTCTTGCATCTACACTGGGTACAGGAGGATACCCAACCGAGTGCCTACTGTGTCCCCAGTCAACCGAGTGCCTACTGTGTCCCCAGTCAACCGAGTGCCTACTGTGTCCCCAGTCAACCGAGTGCCTACTGTGTCCCCAGTCAACCGAGTGCCTACTGTGTCCCAGGCACACAATCGATGCAGGCTCGGCAGCACGCGTCTGGGCGGCCATCAGGGGGCCGCGTTACCGCGGTGAACACGGGATGGGCACATTTTGAACAACCGGGGCCTGCCGGCCCCCCGTGGGGACACTGAGCCCAGCTCGGCACTTTTCAAGGTCAGGACCGTTCAATCCCCTTTTCAACCGGAGGGCAGGAGAGAAAAACATCACTGGTTCTGTGGGAATTCGCAAGCGGGCCATTACACCACAGAGCGACTAGAGGGGCCAATTGCATCCTGTGCCTAGAAACCGTAAAGACAAAAGACACCCCGGGAAGCCAGGGAAGCCAGTAACACTTCACTATCAGCACCGCAAAGGGTTCCCCCCTTTTCACGATCACACGCAGCGCAGGAGGCGGGGGGGGTCCACACAGAATACAGACTCCCAAGCCCGTCGTGGCGGGAGGGACCCCAGCCCGGGAGTCTCACCCCAGACGGGGCAGCCGGGGAGCTAGCGGGCCGCGCTGACTCCACAACCCGCCTCCTCCGCGAGCTGTACCTGCAATGGTGACACCTCCATGGTGACGGCCGTGGAAAGGGCTCGAGAACCCTGCAAGCGACTGAACCGGCAGGACCCACGAGACCAGCGCGGAGCGAGCGACTTCTCCACAGACGCTCGTCTCGTCGGTTAGGTCGGTAGCTCCACTGCGATTTGAACTTTCCTCCAGCCCGCCCAAACCAGGTGAGCCAATCCCGACTCGTTCTCACAGGCTCCGTCTGAGGATCCGATTGGTCTTTCATAGCTACCAATGAAAGGCGGCGTTGGTCGGGGGTCTGTTCAAATGAACCAATGAGATAAGGGATCCGGGGCTAGGGGGTTGGCCAAAGGCAGCACGTAGAGGCGTAACGGAGAGACAGACAGGGAATCTGGCCAATGAGGAGGGCTCATTTGTCCTCTCCGGGCAGCAGGCTCTGAGGAGTCGCGCGGTGGAAGCGTGAAGGGGTTTTCTGAGGGGCGGGCTGGGGTGGGAAGAGAGAGGAGTAGGTTCGTTCCCTCGGAGCGGCTCATTTATTTCACGTCTCTAAAACCTAAAATCCGTCCTCGGTCCCAGTTTTCCCGAGGGAACTTCCCTCATTTTCTTGAGGAAGACCGAATGCCGGCTTTGGGGACAGGCAGCCTGGCAACACAGGTTCGGGCGTCTGCCTCAGCACCCCTTACAATAACTTATTTCTAAAGAAACAAAAGTGGCCCTGACCGGTTTGGCTCAGTGGTTAGAGCGTCGGCCTGTGGACTCCAGGGTCCCAGGTTCGATTCCGGTCAAGGGCATGTACCTTGGTTGCGGGCACATCCCCAGTAGGGGGTGTGCAAGAGGCAGCTGACCGATGTTTCCCTCTCACCGATGTTTCTAGCTCTCTATCCCTCTCCCTTTCTCTCTCTCTCTCTCTAATATATATATATATATATATATATATATATATATATATATATATATATATATTTATTTATAATTTTTTACAGAGAGTAAGGGAGAGGGATAGAGAGCTAGATTAAAAATTATATATATAATTTTTTACAGAGAGTAAAGTGCTTCAGTTGTGGTTCAAAGGGTGTAGAGAGGCCACGCGAAATAGAGAACAGCATTGGGCTGCAACTGAATAATTTATAGTTAACACCTCAGGAACTGAGAATGGTTTAGGGGTCATTCTAGGGCTAATTTTATATATATACTTTTTATTGAGTTCAGAGAGGAAGGAAGAAAAAAAACCCCACATCAATAATGAGAGAGAATAATTGATTTGCTGCCTCCTGCACGCCCCACACTGGGGATCAAACCGTGAATCCCACTGGGAATCGAACTATGTGACCTGATTCATAGATCTATGCTCAACCACTGAGCCACGCAGATCTACTGATTTATTTATTTTATTTTTGTCAAGTTCCCTGGATTCTGCAGTGGAAATGTCAAAGACTAGAGTTTTGTATTACTCTGATATAAAAGTATTTGGGTGAATTTCTTTTCTGTCAATCCACAATGTGAAAAGGATGGGGGGCGGGGGGAAGCTGTTGTCCTTACAAGATGTTAGAAAAGATAACCGCACAATTTGCATGACTGCTAATTCTACCTGAGCCACCCACCTCCTTCCAATCAGCATTCCCTGAGTTTCAGTCGGAGCTGGGTAATTGGCCAGTGATGTGATCTTGATGGAGATGGTTTCATGATGCTTTTGTTTCCGCTGCTAAAGCAGGGGGTGGGGGTGGGGGTATAAAATAAGAGTATTCCCTCAAAGTTGTATGAGGATTACATGAAATAAATGTAAGGCATTTGGAATAGTTGGCTAACAGTATTAGGAATTTTCCTCAGGCTGGCATGGCAATTTGGATTTAATGCTTTTTATTTTCTTCTTCTAAAAGAGGTAGATTTTCAATATACTGGGGAACCTGTATCTAGATACAGAAGTTGCCTCAGGAGGAATCTGGGTTCTTAGTTTGAGACTCTTGTTGCCACCTTTACCCCAGACCCCTGGCTCAGAGGACTTCAACCACCCTTCTACCCAAAGAATGCTATCCTTATGTCATCCATCATTCACCCATTCATCCAGTCAACATTTAAGTAGTTTTTTAAGAATATATTTTTATTGATTTCAGAGAGGAAGAGATAGAAACATCAACAATGAGAGAGAATCATTTATCCTTCCCTCCTGTACGCCCCCTACTAGGGATCGAGCCCACAACCCGGGCATGTGCCCTTGACCAGAATCAAACCTGAGACCCTCCAGTCCGCAGGCCTTAGCTTTATCCACTGAGCCAAACCCGCTAGGGCCACCCAACATTCACTTACCATCAACCTCCCACCAACAACACACCATCCATCCCTCACCTCTGGTCTGACTGCTCCTTCCAAAGGTGAGGCTGGTGAGCTGAGAGGCCAGGGATCCCTGGGGCTCCTGGGATTCCCCACAAGTTCCTTCTCACCAGGAAAGCCAGGGGCTTGGTCCTGGGTCCTCTTCCCTTGTTCTCCCTGTTGGAGCAGACAAGGTATGCAGGAGAGATACCAATCAGGATGGAAGGGCTTTCTGTCTCACTCCTACTCTTCAGTCTTCCTTCTGTTCCCCCATCCCACTTCCACTGCCACCCCAGAGGGTCCCAAAGTCCCTGAAATTTCTCACCCAGAATGGCATTTATGTGACATTCAGGAGGCCCAGCAGGGCAGGCAGATCCAGAAGGTGGGCAAAGAGCAGGGTTGGATTGCCATGGAAGAGAGATAGATTAGAACTAGTCCAGAGAGAGAGAGGCATACCTGCATGTGACTGCAGTGGGGCATCAAACTGATGTAAGAGAGAGAGAAGACAGTAATGTCCCCTAATGTGATGTGAAGAATGGGGTTACCAGGTCCCTGTCACTTTCTCCCCACCTCTCAAATGGGGAAAAATCCCAGATAAGCTCCTTGGCGTTGTGATGTTGGGATTTATAATAAGAAACATATTTGGTATTCTTCCACATTCCTGGCACAGTGCTCCTAAAACCCTTGGAATTTCCTAAGTGGTGAATGCAATGACCACTTAGTGGTGTCTTTTGTTATGTCAATGAGGTGAGTTTTGGAAAGCCCTTAGGTAATTAAGGATGGGGGCTGGTTGCCAAGGGAACCCATCAAGAGATTAGTCGGTTGGAATTTTGGCCTTGCCCATCGATTTCCGATCTCCAGGAAGGTCTGGAGATTGAGTTTAATCACCAAGAGCCAATTATTTAATCAGTCATGCCTATGTACGGAAGGCCCATAAAATTGCAAAAGGACAGATTCGGAGAGCTACTGGGTTGGAGGTGTAGGGAGAGTGGCTCACTGGGAGAGGGCAGGGAAGTTCTGTCCCCTTTCCCCGTATCTTGTCATATTGCACTCTTCCATCTGGCTGTTCCTGAGTTATATCCTTTTACTGTATAATAAACCAATAATCCAGTGAGTAAAATGTTTCTCTGAGCCACTCTAGCAAATTGATAGATGTGCCCTTGACCAGAATCAAACCTGAGACCCTTCAGTCCGCAGGCCTTGGCTTTATCCACTGAGCCAAACCCGCTAAAAGGAAGAGGTCATTGGAACCTCCCAATGATAGCAGGTCAGTCAGAAGCCGAGGTGACAATCTGGACTTTTGACCGGCATCTGAAGGGTGTGTGTGGGGGAGAGGGGGGCAGTCTTGTAGGACTGAGCCCTAAACCTGTGGAATCTGATGGCAACTCTAGGGAGTTAGTGTCAGAACTGAGTTAAATTGTAGGACACTGGCTGGTGTTGGAGAATCACATCAGAATTGGTGTCAGAATTGAAGGAAGCGTTAGGGTGGGTTCCAGAAAGAAAGGAATTGGCTGGAGTGGGATGCTGTGTGCCTCTAGCTTAGGGGTGTCGAACTCAATCAGAGAAGGGGCCAAAATCTAAAATCCAGCCTAAATCGCGGGCCGAATGGTTTACTGAACAGTCATAAACTGTCATTGTGATGGAAACGCAGCGGAGTGCAGTGATGACAGCGCGGTGCGGGCCACATTGCAAGGCCTGGCGGGACGGATTTGGCCCGCGGGCCTTGTGTTTGACACATGTGCTCTAGCTGCATCCATCTGTTTCCCTGGTGATCTCATCTCTGGGCTCTAGCCCCTCCCCTTCCTCACTCTACATTTGCTTACCTGTTTGCTGGGGGAGAGAACCTGAGTAGAGGCTCAGGTGTCTGTGTGATCTGCTGAGCCCGGGGAGAGCTCTCATTCCTTAATGAGAGTCCTGGTGGGAGCAGGGGAGGGGACTGGCGTTCCTGGTAGCTAGCTGCTTCCTCAGCTCTGACCTTGGCCTGTGAACCCAGGGGTCTGATCTGGGGAAGAGGGTATCTGGAGCTGCAGAGACCCATCCTCCAGTCCATTGCCTGCAGAGGGCACTTGGATGCTGCTGGGAGCAGGCCTGGTGGGTAGATGCAGGCTCCGGGATCTGGTCCAGCTGGGCAGTTATGGCCTCATTTCTTCCTCTAAAGGGGAGACTGGACAGGAGCTTTGGTTTCATGTTCCATCTGTAAATCCCTCCTTATCTTTCCAAGTTCTTGATTTCATATCTATTCGTCTTCTCTCCCTTTCCACCTCTCTGTGAATCCCATGTTTCGTCTCTTCCTCCTCAAAGCAAAAGGTCATTTGCTTTGCTCGTACCCTCTCCTCTTCTCTCTTTCCACCTCAAATTATTGTAAAATTTTAGGGTCAGAAAAAGTTACAATTTGTAACCTGCTTTCTGGGATATAGGTCCTTCCACTTATATGGCTCATTTGAAGTAGATACAGGCATCCCCAATTTAGAGATGAAGAAATTGAGGCCCAGCATGGTGAATATACAAGCCCACAGTGCACCATTAATCAGGGCAGAGCTTGGATTTGAATCCTTGGCTCTGAATGTAAGAGCCCCAACCTGAGGGCAAAGCTCTTCCCAATGGTGGCTGCTGGCTCTCCCCTGGCTTGGGGCCAGCCTCTGCTTCTCTTTAGATGAAAACAATGGGTCAGGTGAGGAACAGACTGCACACAGATCTTGAGCATTCCTGGCCTCTGGAAACCAAAAGGGCTGGGGGGGTGAGGAAGGGAAGAATCCAGGCTCCAGGAGAGAAGAGGATGGGGGGCTATTAGATTAGGGGCTCCCGGGATGGGCCTTGTTCCTGGGTCCACTCAGCTCTGTCCCTTTGCCTTCAGATTCCCCCCAGCCCTCA